CCAGCCCCTTCTCCACCACAGGCCCCAGCACTGGACAGGCAAATGGCAGATCTTGATTCCCATGCTTAGCATGATGGGAAGCCAGGGGCTGGGACAGCAGATAAGACGGCTTGGTGGGCAGAAGCCCTCTGTCCTCCCTGAACCTGTGGGCATGACAGCATGGCCAGTGTGTGCTTACTACCAGGGTCCCTACGTCTGAGAAGCAGGTGGCCGCAGGAGGCCCTCTGGGATCTGCCACCTCCAAGCCATGAGTCCAGCCTGCCACCTTCTACTGTCCGGGCTGTGAGTCTCCCTACCCTGGGCTTGCATATTCCCCATCACCCTGGCAGAGCTCAGCACAGCCCCAGCTAAATGAAGCCCAGCAGCAGCTCTGCAGCACTATCTTGATGAAGTCACCTTTCTTGGAACTCAGGGCCCTGAATAGCCTGTCCCCTCCCACCTGGCCTTCCGCCGTCCACCCACGCCCCACCTCCCACCCCAGCTGGCCTGCACCTGCCAGGTTACTCTGCACCCTGCTCTGCTGGCCTCCCACTAAGGTCTCATCCTCCAGGGCTCCACTCAGCTGCTGCTCCTTCCAGAGACAGGGTGGGGCGCCCTCCCTGTCCCGCAGCCTGCCTGCGTGGTTCCTCTAGGATCCCAACATAAAAGCCCCCACTAGCCATTAGCCTCAGCCAGGGATTGGCTGTTATCTACACTCCCTCTCTCCGCTCTCTGCATGTTATTTGGCACCTGTTTTTGTTTTTTTGTGGTACTGAGGATCAAACTCAGGACCTTGTGCTTTTGAGGCAGGCAGTGGCACCATTGAGCTAAATCCCTGCTACTTGGCGCCTATTTTTAAATATTGGTTTTGGCCAAGTGTGGTGTTGCACGCCTGTAAACCCCGGCCTCTGGGAAGTTGAGGCAGGAGGATTTTAAATTCAAACCCAGTCTGGGTAACTTAGTGACTTAGTAAGACTCTGTTTCATTTCATTTTTTTTTTTTTTTTTGGTACTGGGGATCAAACTCGGGACCTTGCACTTGTGAGGCAGGCATCAGAACCACTGAGCTAAATCCCCAGCCCCAGTAAGACTCTGTCTCAAAATAAAAAATGATAAGAAGGACTGGATGTAGCTCAGTGCAAAGGCCCTGGGTTCAATCCTCAGTCCTGCTAAGTAGAGAGATGGATGGATAGATAGATAGATGTGGGGTTTATGACTATGCAGGTACGGGGAACCCAATGGATCAGGAGATGGTTGACACTGAAAAAATACTTTGTACCTGTAATCCCAGCTACTTGGGAGGCTGAGGCAGAAAGAAGGAATGCAACTTTGAGGCCAGCCTGAATAATTTAGCAAGACCTTTTGTCAAAAAACAAATAAATAAACAAAAAGGGCTGGGGATGTAGCTCAGTGGCACTGCCCCTAAGGTCCTGAGTTCGATTCCTGGTAACAGGGCAAAAAACAAAAACAAAACAAACAAAAAACCAACCTCAAACAGGAGCTCAGTGAGAACACAGTGACATCACTGTCATCCTTGATGGCCTTGACACAACTGCTTGTTTACTGCTGTCACCCCTGGGCCTGCACTTGGCTGGCGGATAAGGGATGCTCAGAAACCAGGTGTGGTAAATCTCAGCACTCTGGGAGTCTGAGGCAGGAGAATTGCAAGTTTGGGCCCAGTCTGGGCAACTTAATGACTTAGGGAGACTCTGTCTCAAAATGGAAGCCCTTGGGTTCAATCCCAACTATTGCAGAGAGAGGGCGAGAGAGACTGGCTTAGAAAACTTGTGTGGAAAGGGAAGCCGAGCTCAGCAGCTTTGGGAAGCGGGGCCCTATGGGACCCTTCTGCTTGTTCCCCCTCCCCCCTCCCCCACCACCTCAACCCAAGCGCCCGACACAAGGGCTAACATCTGGCAGCCACCCTTTCCTTCCCCAGCTATTCCACCCATACACATCAAGCAGGGTCAGGAGAAATACTAGGACTGAGTCCACAACACCAGAAATAGTGCCTGTACTCTATCTCAAAAACGCCTCAAAACTAAAGGAATATAAAAAAGGTAAATGACCTGGCCTCCTTGGCCCTCCATGTCCCCTCTCTAGGGCTGGGTCTTCCATCTGTGGGTACCCACTAGAGGTGCCCTCCACAGGCCCAAGGACCCGCCCAGCCCCTGCTCATGGCAGCTGGCTCAGCAGATGGACAGAAGAGCCCTGCCTTTCCTTTCAACCCTGCAGGCTCTGGGGTGACATCAGTCTCTGAGTTGGGCTGAGTGGCAGCTACAGGCCCCCACAACCGCCCCATCACCAGAGCTGGTGACTAGAAGCCAGAAGGGTGGGCGATTCTGTCCCTTACCCCAGCTGTGCTCATTTCACACTGACAGGCAAGAGAGGTTTGTGGGTAGCAGGAGAGGCACGGGCTCCCCCAGTTTGGACCTGACCTCGAAGATCTGGCCCCCACACTTAGAACCATGGTCCTCAGGACTCCACCCTTTAAAAAAAATTTTTATTAGTACCCGCTAATTTTTATTAGTGTTATATGTATGTACACTAACACATCTTAGTTCTCTCTATGTCTCCTCTCCCTCCGCGCCCTCCTACCCCCCCTCCACCTCTTGGTCTCCTCATTCTCAAAAGATTTATCTCCCTGTTTCCTATGTTTTTTTTTTTTTTTTGGTACCAGGGATCGAACTCGGGTCCTTGCGCTTGCAGAACAGGCAGTGGAACCGCTGAGCTAAATCCCCAGCCTGCTTATGATTTTTTTTTTTTTCTTTTTTTGAGGCAGAGACTCCCTATGTAGTTCAGTCTGGCCTTGAACTGGCTGTGTAGCCCACGCTGGCCTTGAACTCACTGGATTCCTCCTGCCTCAGACTCCCTAGTGCTGGGATTACAGGCATGTGCCACCACGTTCAACTCCTACTTTTATTTTCTTAATTTTTTTCTTTTTGAGATAGGATCTCACTATGTAGCTCAGACTGACCTTGGCCTCACTATGTAGCCCACGCTGGCCTTGAATTGGTGGCGACCAGTGCTGAGATTACAGGCGTGAGCCACCACCATGCCTGGAAGTTTTTATACTTCAGGTTTCTCGTATAAGATAAACCACGTGATATTTAAGCTTCTGTATCTGATTTATTTCATTTAACATGGTCTCAAGGAGCACCCACTTTCCTACAAATGCCTCACTCTTTAACGCAGGTCCGGTTCTCCCTGAGCATCCCGTCTCCCAGCCCACATCTCTCGCAAAGTCTGCCTCCTGGTCCCTGAGCCCCCTTAAGAGACAACCTCCTCTCCTTGAAGGCTACTGATGGGACAAACCCTGCAGGGCAGGGCGGGGAGACAGGGGGCAGTGGGCCATAACGGGTAGGTTGGCTATGACCCGCCACGCCGCGTCCCCAAGCCCGCAACCACGCGAAACCGAATCCGCGTCCGGGCCCAGCCTCGCCCACCCGCAGCAAGCGGGCGAGGAATTTGAGCCCCTAGTAGGACAGGCCAGATGTCCGGGCACGCCACGGACGGGGGCGGAGCCGAGCGCACAAGCCCCGCCCCACCCACAGTTAAAGCCCCACCCCAGCACCACTCTTGAAGCCTGGCTGCTGCTATAGGCCCCACCCACTAGCTGCCATTCATCAGGCTCCACCCACTATCCCAGCTCCTGGACCCAGGGGCTGTTTCCTCAAGCTCCGCCCCCGCCGAGGGCTGCTCGGGAAGATCCTAGCGTCATTCATCAAGCTCCGCCTCTCCTCGAGCAGAGCCCGGCCCCTAGGCCCAGACTAGGGGGTTCAGGATGTGACAAGCACCGGAGAGAGCTCGGATGTAGCTATAGATAGGGGTGATACAATGTTAACAACAGGCCTGGGTATGTACCTCAGCAGTAGAGCACGCGCCAAGCCCTGGGTTCCATCCCCAACACTGCAAAGAAGAAAAGAAAAGGAAAAAAGCTCAAAGTAATCAGTGGCACATGCCTGTAATCCAATACTCGGAGCCCGAGGCGGGAGGATCGTGAGTTCGAGGCCAGCCTGGGCAACATTGTGAGACCCTGTCTCAAAGGAAAAAAGAGCCGGGCCAGGGATTTAGCTCAGCGGTTTCGATGCCTGGTGCGCAAACACAAGGACCTGAGTTAGATCCCCGGTACCAAAAAAAAAAAAAAAGAAAGAAAAAGAAAAAAAGAGCCAACGGTTGGGGAGGTCTCTGCAGCGCCCCTTCCCTCCTTCACCCACACTTCCTCCCCAGTCCTCTCTCCCCTGTTCCCAGTAGGTAGGTCACCCTGAGCCGGGGAAAGAAGAAATAAATACCTTGTAGATGAATTTCGCTTTGCTTCTCCTGAACATGATTAACTGGGGCTTCTGGCTTCGCTTTCAAAACCTGAGTCTTTTTTCTTTATGGTTGTGGTTGTTAATAACGGTGTTACTGGGATCATTTTTAATATAATACAAGAGAAAAATCCATATGCCATACACTCCGCCCATTACACGTGTACCATTAGTTTATAAGTACTGGGGCGCCCTCCCTGCACCGGATTTTAGCAGAGAGGATAGATATCCGCCTCTCCCTCTCCCCTCCTCCACCCATGGCCGCCCTGCATTTGCTTTCTGTGTCTATGGATTCTCCTGTTCTCAAAGGCAAGGCATTTCTGTCCCGGGATAAATCACTCTAGATGCAGAAGAGCACTATGAAGTCAGGGACCTAGGGGCACAGGTGGCTTAGGAGTGGGCGGTGAGGGAAAGGCTTCCTCTTGGGCTTTCTTGTCCGCAGGAAGCCTGTGCCAGCCTAGGTGTGGGAAGGGGAGGGAGCCAGATAAGGTAGAGGCCCTGCAGGGAGACAGAGAAGTGCTGGCCAAGAGGCTTGGGATGGCAGGGTGGGGCACGGGGAGCCGGCCTCCAGGAGGGGATCAGGGCTCGCTCTGTCTACACACTGGGAGAGGTCTAGAGTCTCGGGTGTGGAGGGAAGAGGGAGGAGGCAGGGTGGGTCGTGGCAGGGTGGGGCCACCGTCTATAAAGGGTGCAGCTCAGCCCCTGCACCCCACAGGCTGCAGGCTCTAACGGGCTGTACACTCCGGCAGGCCCCAGCTCCCTCAATCCTGTGGTCATCGGTGAGTCCTCCTGGACCATGCTGGGCCCAGCAGCAGGTCCCCTCCGTCTTTGGGACCCTAAGTGGTGTCACCCACCTCTCTTACCAAGGGCCTGGGGCCCTGGCTGGAGATGCAGGTGTCCCCAAGGAGGGTGTGCAGCTGTCCTCTGTGGTCCCCATCACTCCCCCCCAACCCCCAGGTGGCTCTGCTATCCCTTGAGGTCCAGCCTGTGCCATGAACCCGTGGCTCCTCACCTGCCTGGTGGCTTCCTTCGTGGGAGCCTGGGTCCCTGCTGTCCACACCCAAGGTACTGTCTTCCGTCATACCTACACCCCGAACCTGATCTCCCGACCCCCTCTCCGTCGGTCCTATTTGTCCCTCCCCTCTTCTGGGAGTCCCTGGCACAGCCGGAATTCCTAGTGTTTGGTCAGCTCCCATGGAGGGAGACAGAGGGTTCCCAGCTCCTTTATCTGGCCCCCCTCCCCCTGCTGTGGTGCCTTCTTTGTGGCCCAGAGCCTTGGGCAGCAGAGGGTGGCCTCCAGCTGTGGCAAAGCCACTTAAATTGCAGTGTCCCCCTATGCAGAGCCAGGGATGGGGTTGGAGATCCGAGCCCCAGAGACCTTCAGAAGTGGAATCCACCCCAGGCCCTATCCCCAAGTCCTTGTGCAACCTGGCTGAGAGTTGCAACTTGCCTTTACGGGCCTCAGTTTCCCCATCTGGAAAGTGGGGACCTGAGACTCACTGAGCGGAGACTGAGGATCCAGTGAACTGGTGGCTGCAAAAGACTCTCTGTCCAGTGCTCAGTGCTGATGACAAGAACCATTGTCATATTAGTGAGAAAGCTTTTCTATCTGCCTCCCCACCCCCACTCCAGAGCAGGATTTGGGCTGCCAAAGGCCAGTTCTAGGCATGCAGCCCACAAAGGGGAAAGCTGTTCGCTCAAATAACCAGCCAACAGCTTCAGGTTCAGCTGGATCCAGGGGCTTAATGGGTAACTCTCAGGAGGCCGGACAGGGGTGCTGCATCCCTGTGGGCCCTGATGAGAGGCCTCTGGGCCTCACAGACAGCCTTGCAGGGGCCCTGGCCAAGTTGAGGTCCCACCCTCCTGCCCTGCCTGTCCCACCTGCCCTTTCTTGGGTCCCTGCTCCCAGCAGAGCTTAGCCTTTGCCCAGGAGGGAGTCTGAGCTCCATTGTCCTGCTATCAGAGCCCAGCCCAGCCCCTGCCCTTTGATCCAGAGGGGAATGTGGCCCACGGCCTGGGAGCTACACTGGAGGATCCCTTGAGCACAGGTCCTACCTGCCACCTCCTCCTCAGGGCCAAGGTCCAGGATGCAAGGCGGGTGAGCTTCCCCTTGCTCTGCAGCCTGGCCTCCCCAGAAATGGAAGCAAGCTCCACTGGAGGATGGCGGAGGAATCTACCTGGGCTTCCACCACACCTGCTCCTTCAGTGCTGCCTCTGCTCATTCCTTTCACCTGATCCTCTTCCTCCCCTTTTTCTGCCATTGCCACCTCCTCCTTGGGCAACCCCAGTGCCCAGTGCCAGTGTGTCCTCCCCACGACTCCCCCTTGCATAGATCAGCTTCCCCCTATCTCTCCAGCAGGCCAGGAGGTTCCCCAAGACAGCATTCGCTCCAATTCTTCTCTGTGTTGTTTATATGTCCAGCAGCCATAGGAGTTCTTTAAACGCTTCTGTTAGAGCCAGCTGTGTTCGTACACGCCTGTCATCCCAGCACTTAGGAGGCTGAGGCAAGAGGATTGCTGTGAGTTCAAGGTCAGCCTGGTTTACATAGCAAGACCCTGTCTCAAATATTTAAAAATGCTATTGCTAGACACGTAGATAAAGCTACATAGAATTCCCAGGTCACTTGAACGGTGACTGTGGTGGGAACAGAGAGGAGGGAGATCTGAGTTAGACCCATGTAGGAACAGGGGAGCCTGGAGCGGGGCCTGGAACTTAGGGGCAAGGAACCAACCTGTTCCTTTTCAGGAAAGGGGGATCATCGGACTGGGGACAGGTGGCCCAGGGGTCCTCCTCTGGGTGCTGACCTGCCCTCCCTTGCCATCTGCCCCAGAGCAGGAATAGAAGGCATCTTGGGCTGTCCTTTGGAATGCTCACGCCCTTCCTGGCCAGAGCCTGTGGACCCCCTCTAGGTCCTGCCAGTTGTCCCCCTCGAGGAGTAAGAGTGAGCCAGGCCAAGTGGTCATCCAGCCTGCCCGCCTTCCTTCCTTTTGAGTTGTTTTTTTTTGGTACTGGGGATCGAACTTGGGACCTTGCACTTTCGAGGCAGGTGGCAGAACCACTGAGCTAAATCTCCGGCGTTTTTTTTTTTTTTTCCCCCTTCCTTTTTGATTTTGAGACAGGGTCTTTCCAGGTAGCCCAGGTTGGCCTTGACCTTATAGCAATCTTCCTACCTCCTAAGGGCTGGGATGACAGGCCTGTGCCACCATGCCTGGCTCAGGCCAAGTGTTGTGGGCCTCCGCTGGGGCCTAGAAGTGTTGTGGCATGTGCTGCACGTTCCCGCCAATGCCTGAGTCTGTGGCTGCCCCTGCCGAGCGCGCGCACACACAGCTCTGAGTGCGTGGGTGGCGTGTGTTTGCAGGTGTGGTGGAGGACTGCTGCCTGGCCTACCACCCCCACCTCAGGTTGCCTGTGCTCCTGCGCACCAGGAATTTCTGGTGGCAGGAGGTGAGCGGAAGTTGCAATCTGCCAGCTGTGATGTAAGTAGGTAGGGTCCTAGGGGGTGGGAGTGGGGTGCACACGGGTCTGCTCCCTACCTTGGCATGCTGATTTGCGCACCCCACCTCTGCTCTCCGTAGATTCTATTTCCCCCAGCTAGGCAGGACAGTGTGTGGGAACCCTCAGGACAGGGTGGTGAGGAAGGCCATGAAGATCTTGAGTGCTCGGAGGCAGTCCCGCCCCAGAGTCAGCAACAACATCGCTCTCCAAGGTAGGTGAGACCCTGTACTCCCTGAGTGCAGGCCCTCTCCTTTCTCAGTCCCTGTGGAGAAAATCGGGGCTGCCCATGCTCCTACCCCGGAGAGCCTGTTGCTGGTGAGTAGGGAGAGAACAAGAGAGCAAGCAGCTGGGCCATGATCTCCAGCTCTTCTAATCAGGACACTTTTAACTGCTGCAGAGGGAAAGTTCAAACAAAGCTGAAGCTCATCATGCACATAATGAGCCCATAGCTTCAGGCTTGGCTGGACCCAGGGGCTCAGAGACGGTGGAATTCTAATGATTTCTATTTCCATCCCCTGATAGGCTTGCTGGCTAGGGCCAATAAGGTGAATTCTGGAACACCTAAGATGCCATTGAACAAGTCGAAGCATCACATGGGCAACGGCAAGAAGAATGCTGGGTAAGGACTCCTGGTCACGTGACCTTCATCCATCCATTATCTTTGCTTAGGTTTGAGGGCTCCTCTGAGTCCAGACTGGGACAAGACGGTCACCTCCAAGACCAAGGAGAGCTGGGTGCTTGTCGGCCCTACCTGATCACGTAGGAGGCTCCTACTAGGGGTCACCCACGGCTCCAACCCAGCCCAGGGTGTTTTGATCAGTTCCACAGTGAAACACCAAGCAGGTGAGCCAAGAGCTGCTTGGAACCAATGGATGGAGAGTATTTTCCTTAGTTCCCACTCAACACGGAGCCACTCCACAGCAGGCGCTAGCAGGGAGTCCCACGAGGTCAGTCAAGTCAGTTCTCACAGGCTGGGGTGTGTGTAGCGGAAATGCATACTGGGCATGCGCGAAACAATGACCGGGCGGTAGCACCAGTTCCCATACGTTAAGGGCTCAGTCCCGTAAGTCTGCTTCCGCATCAAGATGCAACCAGTCTGGGCCTCAGTTTCCCCATGTAAAATGGAGATGATAAGAGCACTGTTTATTCCACAGGGCACAGTGACAGACGAAGGGATCTGCGATCAAACGGTGTCTGGTATGTAGCAGCCATTTGCATTGATAATCAGGACTCTTGCTGTCAACTCCGGGGTTCTGTTACCAGCTACGGCAGCTTCAGGACTCAGGGAAACACTTCCTTACACCTGCTGGTTTATTATGAAGGATATTACAAAGGCAAGGAGGGTGCAGCAAGGCGAAAAAGATACTCCATAAGGCTAAAAAAAAAAAAAGAAAGAAAAGTGAAGGGCCAGGGATTTAGCTCAGTGACACCGCACCTGCCTGGCAAGCATAAGGTCCTGAGTTCGATCCCTGGTACAAAAAAAAAAAGTGAATGTTCAATTTCTTTTTTCAGTACTATGGATTGAATCCTGAGCCTTTGCGCTGAGCTACATCCCCAGCCCTTTGCTTGTTTGTTTGTTTATTATGAAAGAGTCTTTCTAAGTCCCTAAGTTACCCAGGCTGGATTTGAACTTGTGATCCTCCTGCCTCGGCATCCCAGAGTGCTATGATTACAGGCATACATCTCCATACTCAGCTTCTATTTATGTATTTATTTAGAGACCGGGTCTCTCTATGTAGTCCAACCTGGTGTTGAACTCACTGTGTAGCCCAGGCTGGCCTCAGATTCGAAGTGATCCTCCTGCCTCAGCCTCCCAAGTGCTGGAATTACAGGTGTGGACCACCATGCTTGGCCAAAGTTTTAAAAAAAGTTTATCACAGTAAAAGACACATTTCCACTAATCCTCTTCAAAATATTCCCCCTCAGTTTGAACACACTTATCCCACGGTTCTTGCCACTTTCTGAAGCAGTTCTGGAAGTCCCATGGATGAGGTCATGCTGCAATGTTTTTACAAACCCATCTTTCCGTTGGATATTACTCGGCAGCAGCATTTACTGTATTTTTGATCACACCTCACAAAGACATTCATGAAAGGGGATTTCCAGAGCTGCTTCAGAAATTACCAAGAATGACGGGATAAGTGTGTGTGAAGGGAAGGGGAGGATTTGGAGTATTCTGAGGGGATTTCATGGCAATATGTCTTTAACTGTAATAAGTATTTTAAAATTTAAACACACACTGTACATTTTGATCAGTTCTGCGCATAGGGCAAGGTCAAGGGGATGAATGAATAACTAGATGAAAGAGATACACAGGGCAAAGTCTGCAAGGGTCTCCAGCTCCTGCCCTGTGGAGTTGGGGTGCCCCACTCTCCTGTCACACGGATGGGTTCACCAACCTGGAAACTCTGCACTTCATAGTTGAGGGATGTTTTATGGAGGCCTTATCACCTAGGCACAATGGAGTATTAACTCCACCTCCAGCGCCTTTCCCCTTCCCAGGGTGGAACAGAATGCTTCAAGCTTCTAATCCCAGTTTACATCTAGCAGTTGCCTCTTCAGAACAAAAGGCAGTGCTAGTGACCCGGAAATTCCAAGGAATTAAGGGCTCGGTGTTAGGAGGAACAGAGGCCAAAGCCCAAATGTTAGAACAAAAGATGCTTCTTTTGGCTCAGGTTGCAAGGGATTTAGGAGCTGCATGCCAGGGACTGTGTGTGTGTGTGTGTGCGTGTGTGTGTGAGAGCAGCCACCAGCTCCGCTGATCCCTCTCCTGCAGGACCCTGAGCCCTGCATCTCCAGGATCCTCTGATGGCACCCGGGGGCTGCATCTTCTCCAAGACCTGCAGTGCTGGCTGCCACCCCTGCCCTGAGTCCTTCAGGCTGCGCTGTCCTAGTCCCTGGGCCTGTATGGTTTTCTCCTCTCTGTCCCTACCTCTTCCCGCCCTCGGGCAGCTGGAAAGAGGAAGTTGACCTTATTTAAGGTCATAGGACAAGCATCAATCGGAGACCATGCCCTCACCTTAGGTCCATTGCTTACCTGTGACTTCTTACCTTACCTGGCCACCTGCCCAGGTCCTTGGACACCTTTGGTTGGTCCAAAGACATCTCCTAGGCTGTACTTTAAAAAAAAAAAAATCTATGACAACTTTTAAATAAACTGTCTAGGAGGATGTCACTCCCACACCTGTCCTGTTTTATTAAGAGTGCCATGGGATCCACCCTCACCCCAAGATCTGTGCCCCCAGCCCTCAGAAGAGTCAGCTTCTGAGCCCAAGTCTGCATAGGGCTCTAACAGAAAAGTTAGTGTTCAGGATCCGGCAGGGACAGAGCCCTGAGACCAGTGGAGGCCTTGGCTCCAGGACACCAGGAGTGTTCTGGGGGAAAATCAAACAAACCCTCTCTGGAGGATGCCGGCTGGTTTTCGGTCGGGGGCCAGGGTGAGGGCTCAGAAAAAAACTCCAGCCCACCCACACCACTGGGGTGATCCAGACTGGCTCCCATAATTCTCTAAGCCTCAGTTTCCATCCTGCTGTAAAATGGAGGTGACAGGTACCTGCCTGGGAAGAGTCTGCTGGGGACCAAATGTACTAGCGCCTTCACATGCATAGCACGCAGTACACACTGGTGCTGGCAGGCAACAAGGGTGCTGGCGCAGCTGCCTGGCTTTTCCCTTTAACCTTGGCCAAGCCACTCGACCACTGAGAGCCTCAGTTTCCCAATCTGTAAAATGGGGATATAAAAACACATCTGTTTCATGAGGCTGTAGTGATGGCCAAAGAGGTCAACAATCGTAAGGTACTCGAAGCAGTGTCTGGTACATAGCATGGGGACCACAAGCTGTCTCAGCAGCTCGCCGCCTGGCTCCAGGTAAGTGCTGGCTGCACAAGTGTGACACTGGCAGAACTGACTGGTCCCCTGAGGCTGCAGAGCCCCGAGGGCAGTATCTTATTTAAGCACTTGCCAAAAGACGAGCAGATTTAACCCAAAATAATTTTATTGCTGTCTCCACTTCGGATAGAAAAGCATCCCCAGAACCCTAGCCCAGGCCCCAGGGGAATGAACAGGCAGTGGTGAGTCACTGACTGGGTGGGGCTGGGGCTCCCTTTTCTGCCCTGAGGGACCAGCCCCATACCCATCCCAGCCACCCGGCCAATGTCCGACCAGCCCTTGCTGGGGGCGGGAGCCACAGTGCAGTACAGACGTGTAAGCCTGAGATTGAGCAGAAGCTGTGACCACAAGGACCTCACTGGCCCTGGGGTGGAGGAGGCACAAGGCAGCATCTAGGTGTCTCCAGGACAGACGGAGTGTTGCGGTCCCTTGGGCTGTTGCAGAGGGTCTGGGCACAGGCTGGGCTCATCTGAGGTCATAGTGTAGCATGCCACTCTTACTGAGTTTCGGGCTTTGACTTGGGCAGCCACTGCTGCTAAGGAACAGTCCCACTAGTTCCAGAATCCGCCGGTATGGGAGTGCTGGGACCCATCGAGGTCCCTCCCAACTAGAGGAGCTGCAATTGCACCTTCAGCCGCAAGGCCCGGCCCTTGGGTCCCTGCCAGACACCCTGGGTCCCTGCCACGCTCACCACCTCCACCTGGTATGTTCCAGGCCCCGGCCTGCGCCACCCCAGCTGCAGGAAGCTGAGGCCACTCCGGTGCTGCATGCAGAAGAAACTTTGCCTGTTGCCATGGGAAATGATGTAGCGGACTTGGCCTTGCAGGCCCTGCAGAGCTGGCCGCAGCTCCAGGATGTGCTCGGCCTGGCTTAGGCGTGAGAGGTTCAGGCCCAAGGTCAGGGGCACTTCGGCGTCGAGGGCGGCCATGCTCACCTGAGGAGAAAGACCAGGTGGGTGATGAGAGGCTGGGTGAATGGGGATGCAGTTCATAGGGTGTCCTGGGACTGTGGCCAGAGATTTCTACTTCCCTAATGCAGAGGAAAAGGTTTTTTATTTTTGTTTTTTTGAGACAGGATCTTGCTTAGTTCAAGCCAGCCTTGGACTCACTGTGTAGCCCAGTGGCCTTGAACTTTTGGTGATCCTCCTGCCTCAGCCTCCCGAGTGGTTTATAAGGGATTGTCACCACACCAGGCAGGGGGAAAGGGTCTTTTGTGCACTCTGCCCTTGGCTTCTGCATAGCCCTCTACCCACAAGGCCAAGGTTGGCACAGGCTGAGGATGTCAGGGCATAAGGCTGCAGCTGGTTCCAGGGGGAAAGCAAAGAATTGCTGGTAGGAGTCACCCTCCTTAAACAAAACAAAACAAAACCCCAAACAAACAAACCAACAAGCCAGGACCTTTGCACTGAGCTATACGCCTAGTCCTTTTCTATTTTTTATTTTGAGACAGGGTCTCAATAAGTCACTGAATTGCCCAGGCTATGCTTGAACTTTTGATCCCCCTGCCTCAGCCCACCAGAGTGTTGAGATTACCAGCATGCACCACCATGTCTGACTTGGGCAGCCACATTTATTGATTGATTTTTTTGAGGGGGGTCTTTCTATGTAGCACTAGCTGGCCTGGAACCTGCAGTGATCCTCCTGCCTCTGCCTCCTAAATGCTGGGATTATTGGTGTGTGCTACCATGCCTTGCTTGGGTGGCCATTTTTATACAGTTTCCAGACCCCTGGTCTCAGCCGAGGGGCCTTGGTGAGGCCCCTGCCAGCCTAAGCTAAAGGAATCAAGGGTTGCCTTAGACACCTAGCTATTGGTCACTCCGATGCCATTGGTCAGCACAGCCCTGAGGTCACTCAGAGGCAGTCCTGGTGGCTGATGTTACAACCAAGGGACTTTTTGCATGAACCAGCCCCCAAAGGGTGCCAGAGCTGGCAGGGACAAAGAAGACGCCCAGCTGGGCCGGAGAGAAAGGAGCAGGGCCAGGAGACAGAAGAGCTGCGCTGGCTTCCGCTGGACTTCCTGCATCTGGCACTCTTAGAAAGCCCCTGTGTGGGGGTGACAAACCCTCCTTTATCTGCACTTCTCTGAAGTGCAGTCCTGGTGCTGGCAGCCAGATAGTGCCCTCAATAAGCCAGCAAGCCTCAGTGGCAGGCTGCTCTGGGTGGGTAGACCAAGCCAAGCACACAGAAGGTTATCTGTGTTTTCTCCTTTGCCTGGCCCGTGTTTTGTGGGTTTTGCCTCATTTGCATACCCACTGCCTCATTTGTATGCCTACCAAGCGCCCTGCAGCTGCTTTAAAGTGAAAGCTCTTCGTGTTTCCCAGCCCCTGGTTGGGATCGCTGGCCTTTCCTGAGGCTTGGCGGGGACATTTGCATTTACTGACACCTGCTGGCGGAGAGTGGGTATTGCAGGCAAATACACCGCGTGGGTCTCTTCTGTCAGCCATGATAATCAAGCCACTGTCCTCGTTAGTACCCAGGGCAGGTCATGCCATGGTAACCCCAATGGAGGGTTCTACCCTTCTGATGCTCATGGTAAATAACAGGAACTATAGGATGAATGACATAGTGCCATTTTTTTCTCAGCAAGAGGAGGAAAAAGCAACTAGAGAAAAGAGGGTTAAGCAATGCACTTGGCATTTGACTAAATATTGAAAGCCCCTCCGACCCATCATGCCTATTTCACTCTGGCTTTATTTATTCCCCTATGATATTTATCATGGATCATATTTATATGTGCTATAAAACATGGTACACAGCCAGGTGCAATGGTGCATGCCTGTAATGCCAGCACTCTGGGAGGCTGAGGCAGGAGGATCACAAGTTCCAGCCCAGCCTGAGCAATTTTCCAAAACCCTGTTTCAAAAAAAAAAAAAAAAAAAGGAGAAGAAAAGAGCTGAGGATGTAGCCCTGGGTTCAATCCTCAGAACCAAAATCAAACTAAGCCATGTTTTACTTATTTACTTATTTATTTATTTTTTGTCTCTTCCCATCCGAATATCCACCCAGAAGCAGGGACCTTTTTTTTCTTGTATATTACTGCATGACAGCCTGGCCAGGTTCTGTATGAAAATGCTGAATCATCTGCTGGAGTGATGCGAAGTGCTAAGAGTCCCCAAGGGAAACCCCAGGACCACAGAAGGACAGGGAGCCCCATGTACCATGAAGGAGGAGCAAGCTGGGGTACAGAGTCTAGTGCTCTCCCCCAGGAGCACTAAGCATATCCCCAGTCTTTTTCTATTAGATTTTATTTTTATTTATTTATTTATTTTTTGGGGTACGGGGGATCGAACTCAGGTCCTTGCGCTCGCAAGGCAGGCGGTGGAACCACTGAGCTAAATCCCCTGCCCTTCTATTACATTTTATTTTGAGACTGGGTCTTGCTCAATTGCCCAGGCTGGTCTTGAACTTGAGATCCTCCTGCCTCAGCCTCCTGAGTAGCTAGGATTGCAGGTGTGTTCCACCACACCTGGCTGAGTCTAGTGCTCCTTCAGGGTCACAGCCTCCTTCCCACCTGCAGGGAGTCCCCCGGCTGCCCCTGCCCCACGTAGCCCTTGTGATACCTGGTGGCCCCCATGGGCGCTGCGCCGGTGCCGGTCCTGAGGGGTGAGGCCATTGATCTTGCATTCATAGCAGGCTTCTGGAAAGAGCTGCTCCTCCTCATTTGGGGCCTCCTGCTGTCCAGAGCTGAAGGCCAGGGCAGAGACACAGTGCCTGGGCCAGGATGGTGAGGTAGGCAGGTTTCAGAGGCAGCCGGCAGGACTTCTCCACACAACCCCTACCACCCCTCCATTGTGAGCCAGCTGGGCTGGGAGCAGGAGCTGTCAGGTAAATGTGCCTCTGTGTGTGCTGGCATGGCTCTGTGTGCCTACATGAATGCATGCAGAAGAGCTGCGTGTGTGTGCGTTGGTCCCTGGCTCACCTGGGCATACGTGTAAACAAGGGAATGAGATAGTGTGCATTTTCTGGGAGAAAGGAATGTACCCAAGTGTGCCCAGGGTGTGTGCAGGTGGGGGCCTGTGTGCACACGGGGAGGGTAACATTCAAGCATACGTGTGCCATGTATGAATCTACACTCAGCCCTCCATGTGCATGGCCTCCGCATCCTCCTATTCAACCACCCAGGACTGAAAATGTTACAGGGTTGGGGGCAGCTTAGTGGTAGTGCTTGCCTAGCACTGCAAAGCCCCTAGCATCTCAACAAAAGTGCACTGTCCAACTCAGATGTGGTGGTGCACAACTGTAATCCCAGCACTTTGGAAGGCTGAGGAAGGAAAATTGCAAGTCCTAGCTCAGCCTGGGCAATTTAGTAATTTAGCAAAACCCTGTCTCAGAATTTTAAACAAACAAAACAAATAAAGGGTAGAGATGTAGCTCAGTGTGAAAACCTTGGGCTCAATCTCAATATTGGGACAAAAAACTCACATTGTTGCTGATGTGTACGTACGGTTATGCTTACACTGTGTCTGTCCTGAACATGCACAGGCTTTTTTCTTGTTATTATTTCCTAAACAATACATGCTAACAACTATTCACACTGCATGTACATTACATTAAGCATTATAAGTCATCTAAAAATGATTTAAATTATCCAAGAGGGCTGAGATTGCAGCTCAGTGATAGAATGGTAGAGTGAGAAGGTGTACACAGGTCATATGGAAATATTACAACTTTTGTGTGTGTGTGACTAGAGATGGATCCCACCATCCTTGCACTAAGCTACATCCCCAGTTCCACCTTTATAAAAATTATTTGTTGAGATAGGGTCTCACTAAGTTCCCCCAGCTGGGCCCGAACCTGCAATCCTCCTGCCTCAGCCCCCCATGAACACGTGTACACATCAGGCAGGGAGTCTGTGCCCGTTCCATCCCTTCCCACCCACTCAGACCTCTCACCCTTGCCCGGCCCGGAAGTAGCCTCTGGGGCAGCCGCACAGGAAGCCACCCGCAGTGTTGGCACAGCCATAGCTACAGGGGCTGCCCTGCCCAGCACACTCATCCACATCCTGGCAGCCCCCGCGGGCCTGGTCAAAGTCAAAGCCAGAGGGGCAGACGCAGCGGAAGCTACCGAGGGTGTTGTGGCAGGAGGCGCTGCCACAGGCCGTGGGTGACACAGCACACTCGTTCTCATCTGTGGGTGGGGAGGAGGAGAGAGATGGTGGTGGAAGATTCCACACCTCCAGAGCCCTCCACCTGAAGGCTCGCCCTTCAGAGCCCAAGTCCTAGGTCACGGCCTGCAGGAGCTCACTGGGAACCCCAACTACACCTGTCCCCCTCCATGCCTTATCACACTCCTTACCCACCAAGGCCCTGGCCCGAAGCCCAGGAGTCTTCTTCATGGTACTTCTCCTAAATCCTGAGTTGTGGGACACTCGGGCACAAACTGTCTCACCCACACCCCTATAACATTGGGGCTGGGCCATTCTCTGCGGTGGGGTTGACCTTGTACTTGGGGTGTTCAGCAGCATCTCTGGCTTCTGCCCACCCTATAACCCCCAGTTGTGGAGTTTTGACTATGAAAATTGCCTCCAAGGGACTCTTTTTCCCCTTCAGTGCTAGGGATGGAACTCAGGGCCTTGAGCATGCTTGGCAAGCACTCACCATTGAGCTACAGCTCCAGTCCTTTTTATTTATTTATTTATTTATTTATTTATTTATTTATTTATTTATTTATTTATTTATATTTTGAGACAGGGCCCCACTAAATTACCCAGGCTGGAACTTACAAACCTCCTGCCTCAGCCTCTTAAGAAGCTAAGATTACAGGCATGCAACACCATGCTAGGCTTTGAAATGTCCCTTGGGAGGCAAAATGGTCCTTAATGGAAAATTCAATGAGTGTTCTAAGGAGGGGTCTCCTCTGCTGGGATGGGCATCTGTTTTTCTGCACCCTTAGGGCCTGGTACAAAGCAAATCCTTGCAGAAGAGTTGGGGAAGGAAGAGAGTAAAGAAGCAGAGGAAATGAAAGAATCACCAGCAGGGGCCGGCTATTTAGCTCAGTGGTTCTGCCGCCTGCCTTGCAAGCACAAGGACCCGAGTTTGATGCCTGGTACCAAAAAAAAAAAAAAAAAAAAAAGAATCACCAGCAAAGGCCAGGGATCTGTGTTATCCCTTAGAGCACTGGGGACAAAGGCCTGAGCATAGGGTAGCATGGGAAGACAAAATATAAAACAAAATGAAACTTAGTTGAAGAACCACCATAAATGACAGGAGGTGCAATATACAGTCATGTCATTACTGTCCATTGCTGTACCCATAGCAGACATCACTAATCAAGCCCAGTATTCATTCCCCTGCTAATCATTACTCAATTGCTGCACTCTTTCCACTCTACCCATGGCAGACATCACTAATCAATCGCTGCATCCTCTCCAGCCACCCATAGCAAACATCATCAATCAACCACAGCATTCTTTCTTCTGTTGCTATGACAGACATCACTAATCAATCACTGCACTTTCCATTCCACCCATGGCAGACATCACTATAATCAGTCACTGTCCTCTTTCCCAGTAATCATAGGCAGGGTCTCTGAATTTTTCTTAGCTCCCGGCCACCACTCTCCAAGAAATGGACTTAAACACTATGTCATGTTTGCTTAGCTGCCCCCTGGCTGCCCAGTGGGAGACATCCCAGGCTGGCCCATCTGAGTTTTAAATAATTCTGCTGGTCACAACATCTGGCAGGGAAGTGGTTCCTGATTGTTCGCTCTTCCCAAGTTTTCCTCCCCACCTGGGCCACTCACCCACACACTGCGCCCACTGGGAGTGCTGGGTGAAGCCCTGGGGGCAGCTGCAGCGGTAACCCCCCACCTCATTCTGACAGCCATGACGGCAGCGATGGGGTCCGTCACACTCATCCACATCTGAGACATAGAGAATAAAGGAGGGGGGCTCAGCTGGTGGCTTTCAGGACCGCCGCCCAGCCTGGCACCCCACCCGTGCTGGCTCTACCTTTGCAGCCGCGGCCTGAGCTGTCCAGAGTGAAGCCTTGGTAGCACTCACAGCGGAAGCTGCCTGGGACATTGAGGCAGCGTCCATGGGCACCACACGGGCCAGGCTGGGCCAAGCACTCATCCTGGTCTGCAGAGGATAGAGAATGGGCGGGGTTTCCTGGCGTTAGGGAATGTCTATGGGGTGGCACCATGCCGTGTGGCTTCGGGCAAGTCACTCCCCCTCTCTGTGCCTATTTCCCCTCCTCTGTGAAATGAGAGCTGTAACAGTTCCTTTCTTACAGAATTGCTGCCAGTATTTGTGATGGTACAGATAAAGGGCATTGCTTGAATCTCATCTTCTCCATCTTTTTATTTTTTATTATTTTAAAATTTTGAAACAGGGTCTTGCTGAGTTGCTAAATTGCCCAGCCTGGGCTCAAATTTGAAATCCCCCTGCCTCAGCCTCCCAGAAGGCTGGGATTGTAAGTGTGTGCCACCATGCCTGGCTAATCTCCATCTTTTTTTTTTTTTTTATGATTATACTATTTATTTGTGCTGAACTAAAAGCCAGAGATAAAAGAACAACACCCCAAACTGAAGCCAGGCAGAAATGAAGCCCAGCGATGGACGACGAGAGGTCATGCATCTTGGTACGTTCACACTCTCTCCTCTTAGGACTGAGACAGGGACCAGGTGAGTGCTGCACACCTGAACTCTGGAGGCCAATGGGAGAGGATCACTTGAGCCCAGGAGTTCAAAGTCAAAGTAGGCAACACAGTGAGACCCCATTTCAAAACAAAACCAAACCAGAATTATACAGGCCAATGAATAAAGGGAATGTCTTCTTATGAGAACTCTACTGCACAAATAAAGTACTAAAATTGTCATGATACTGCTATTTACCTTTCATAAGCAACCACTGTCCAAAACATATTACTCTTACAACACTCACATTGAACACTGGAAATGGCAGCTAAATGAACTCTTAGTGTAAACTGCTGGTATCATTTTAAAGACCTTGTTCTAAGCACATGTGGGAGAATGATTCCCTTGGACATCATGGTGCTCACGAAAGAAGTTTCAGCCATGCTTCTTAGTTGTAGACTGTGCCTCCATTGCCATGACCAAGGGTGTCTTGATATTGTATGTCTTGTTCATTCATCTGGCCATTGGCTAATATTTTTTCAGTTCGGCAGAGGACTTACTTAAGCTATCGCTTGGAAGTGAATGCAAGACTGCTGGGCTGGTGTGTTGAGAGGGTCCAGCCCGGGTATTCACCTTCAGGCCATGTATGTTCCATTCCCCAGGAGGCTTGCAGGCTCTTGGAAATATCTGCAGAGGCTCTATTAACTGTCCACTTACTTGCTGTTCCATTACTGTGGAATAATAATATGACAGCATTGCCTTCATTTCTTCATCACTTCTCACAGTAATTCTATCACCATCTTCATCTTCATATGCAAATGCTGTAGTTGTGGCTTCAGGCAAAACTGGGTCCATCACATCCAGCACATCTCTGAAGAGTTACTGAGGCCTGGAGTGCACTGTCCAGTCCACCGCACCACTATTTGGAATCATGATGTGAATCACCAGCACCTGGTTCTCCATGGCACAGTAGGGGCCAAAGGCCAGCCACAGCATTACAGGTTAAAGGGGCTCACATCCTGTCCCCTGGGTAGGAGGGCCCGAAGCCGAGTGACCCGGCTGTGGTGGTGGTAGGCATCTCATCTCCATCTTGAAGCTGTACAATATGGGTGACTGGCTTTCCCTTTTGGCCTCAGTTTCCTGAGTTACAACATGGAGGTGGTTGATAACTCCTTTGGCACTTTTTGGGTGAGAATTAAATTAACTGCACACAGGGCTCAGGATAGTAGCCAGTAAGGGAGTAAAAGATTATCAAAACCCTTCACAGGCTGGAGATGGGGCTCAGTGGTAGGATGTGTGCTTACCATGTGTGCAGCCCCAAGTCCCCAAGCACCACACACACAAACAAATAAAATAATTCAGGTGTTGTGGTGCACATCTGTCATCCCAGCACTCTAGGAGGATGAGACAGGAGGATCAAAAGTTTGAGCCCAGGGGCTGGGGATTTAGCTCAGTGGTTCTGCCACCGGCATTGCAAGCGCAAGGTCCCAAGTTCAATCCCCAGTACCAAAAAGAAAAAGTTTGAGCCCAGCCTGGACAACTTATGACCTAGCAAGACCCTGTCTCAAAATGAAAAGTAAAAGGGGCCAGGGATTTAGCTCAGTGGTTCCGCCGCCTGCCTTGCAGGCATAAGGACCCGAGTTCAATCCCTGGTACCAAAAAAAAAACAAAAAGAAAGTAAAAAGGGCTGGGGATGTAGCTCAGTGTCAGGGCCCTGGGTTCCATCCCTAGTACTACAGGAAATAAATAAAAATTTAAAAATAAATAATAAAATTAATGAAAGTTATAAGCAGCCCAGGGTGTAGCTCAGCAGTAGAGCATATACTTGGCATGCAAAAGCCTTGGGTTCAATTCCTAGCACTGAAAACAAAAAAAACTTCTTTTAAGACAAGATCTCACTATCTTGTTCAGGCTGGCCTTGAACTCACAGTGATCCTCCTGCTTCAGCTTCTCAAGTGCTGAGATGACAGGAATAAGCCACCATCTTGGCTAGCTGATTGCTCTTTGAATACTGCAGGCTTCCCTTTTTCCTAACCTCCTAATTCTACTTTTATTTTGTTTTTACTTTTATATTCTCAACACTTTCTGACATATTTATTAAGTCTGTGTCCAGTCTGATTCTCTGCTAGAAGTTGCATGATGGTAGCAGCCTCTCTGGCCTCTACTCTCCTGGACCCCTGGGATCTGTTTCTGTAAATAGCCAGAGAGTGAACTTTTTTTGCTCTGTTGAAAGACTGGACTCTGTCATCACAATGAAAATGCAGCCACAGATGATAGGTAAAGTGAGCATGGCTGTGTGCCAATAAAATTTTATTAGCAAATGCAAGCAGGGGGCCTGTGAAGGCTGGTGGGCTGTAGTGTGCATCCTCTGGCTGGAAGCACTGCCTGGTACAAAGTAGATGCTCAGAAGACGGTAGATGAGTGAATAAGAGGGAGCTTGAATGGGGTATCCTTGGCTGGGCCCAGCTTGTGGGGGAGATCTGTTTCCCTGGTGCCACAAGATAGTGGCAGATGCCCTTGTGGCTTTGGCCTCTAAACCAACTTCCACTTCAGACAGTGTGAACCCCTAGGACTTCCGGAGCAGTCTAGTGAAGGCCAAAGGGAGAGGCCAGGGCCCAGGCCAGAGGGACTTCGGAGAGTGGGGCTCCCAGAACCCCAGGGCGAAGAAGGAGGAGGAGGTTTTGAGATGCCACCAAGATGCACCCCAGGGAAGCAAGCGATTTGTTCCAATCACCCCTGTGTCTCTGACGTCTGGCACACACCGGGCGGGTGCTTGATACTTCTTTGGCGACCAAGGGCACTAAGGCTGAGGTAATGTGCCACCTGCCATAGGCGGGCCAAAGGCACTTACCGAAGCAGGCCTGGTGACGCTGAGTGAAGCCCGGGGGGCAGCGGCAGGCGAAGGCACCTATGGTGTTGACGCACAGGAACTGGCAATTGTGGTGCTGCCGGGAGGAGCACTCATCCAGGTCTGCCTTACAGAAGCCAGGTGGTCAGGGGGCGTGGCCAGTTTGTCGGGGGGTGGGACCTGGGCGGGGCCAATGGCACAGGGCGGGGCCGGGGTAGGTCTGGGCGTGGTCCAGGGAGACGTGGAGAGAGAGGACGTTACCTTTGCAGGTCCTGCCGTCTTCCTCCAGTAGGTAACCCCGGGGGCAGGTGCACAGGAAGCTGCCTTCCGTGTTTTTGCAGAGGAAAGAACACGGCTTGGGGTTTTGGTCGCACTCGTCCACATCTGGGGGTGGGGGGTGGCGAGTGTAGGGAGGTCAGACACTGAGGGGGGCTGCTCAGGGGGTCCCCTTCCCAGACTGACCACCCCAAATCTGTGCAGTAGACAGAATTGGCACTTTTTCTGTGAAAAGCAAAGTACTAAACAGAGTCTGCTCTCTGTACCCACAACAGTAGACTGGAAATATTCTTCAACAAAAAGGTCTGTTGAACATGCAGGCTTTTTTCTTATCATTACTCCCTTAATGGGACTGTGTGCATAGCATTTATGTTAGTTACATGTTAAAAGTCATCTAGAGATGATTTATTTATTTGGCAACACTAGGGATTTAATGTAGGGACTTTGCATTGAGCTACATCCCCGGCCCTTTTAAAATTTTTAATTTTGAGACAGGGTCTTGCTAAGTCACCAAGTTGCCCAAACTGGGCTCAAACTTGCAATCCACCTGCCTCAGCCTCTCAAAGTGTGGTTACCAACACGAGCCACCATGTCTAGTTTGGAAATAATTTAAAGAATACAGGAGGGCCTGGGGTGTGGCTCAGTGGGAGAGCACTTGTCTAGCATGTGCAAGGTCCTGGGTTCCATGCCCAGCACCACGGAATAAGCAAATAAAAAATAAACAAAAACAAGCAAATAAAAATGTGTATAGAGCCGGGTGTGGTAGCTCGCACCTGTAATCCCAGCATTTGGGAGGCTGAGGCAGGAGAATCACCCCAAGTTCAAGGTCAGCATAAAAAAAAAAAAAGGCCAGGGATGTAGCTCAGTGGCACTGTGCCTGCCTGGCTAAGTGCAAGGTTCTGAGTTCGATTCCTGGTACAGAGGGAAAAAAAAGAAAATGAAAAAAATGTGTATAAATCATATGTAAATAGAAAGGACACAAGCAGCCCTGGATTTTGGTATCCAAGTAGGATACCAACAGCCTTAATATGAACAGAGTAGCCACTAGGGATAAACAAATAGGCATGGCTGTGTGCCGATAAAACTTTATTTACAAAACCAAACGGCTAGACTTGTTCCACAGGCTGGAGGTGCTGCCCTGTGTGACTTAGAGGAGAAACTGCTGGAGAATCACAGAAGGAAATCAAAGCAGGACTACAGTCCAAACAGAAGGGAGAAGCCAAGGAAGCTGTGCTTCTGGCCTTGTGTTCTGTTTCCCTTGGAGGTGGGCACACTTTGTAAATGGAAAGCAAGTGTTGTGAACTCGGCAGTCCCCTCCCGGAAGGGGAGGCAGCAGCCGGAGAGGCTCACCCAGGCAGGCAGTGGCAGTGGCATCCGGCGCATACCCGGCCTGGCAGTGGCAACGGAAGGAGCCCATGCTGTTGATGCACTCTCCGTGGGCGCACAGATGAGCAAGCACATGGCACTCGTCCACATCTGGGGACAAGCAGGGCGGGGTGGGGGCCGCGTGGCCACCTGGGGTCCAGGCATGTCCCCGAGCCTTCCTTCTGCCCACCAGCCTGTTCCCATGGGCAGCCCAGGCTCCTCCCCCTGCACACCCACCCATATGGACCCTGTCCCGGATGTGTTGTCCCTGAGCTAGCAGGAGACGCTGGTGGTGCATGCGCCTTCCACTGAGCACAAGCGCATGCACACTGAGACACATGCCCATTAACAAGCTTGCACACATGACACACACCAGCTCACATGCTCATTAATGAGCTTGCACATGCAGAGAACACACACACACACACACATACATACTCGCTCACATATCTGCTCACTTGGCCACTCAGGTTCATGCACACCCAGAGCACACGTGCTGTTCACACCTCTGTTGTCACAAAGGCACACACACACACACACACACAGACACATACACACAGAATATGGCTCACACATTCAAGCACCTCCCAGAGCACAGGACACAGAAATGGAGTGTGGTGACCTCCAGGACACCCACCTCGTCCTTCGGTAGTATAGCCCAAGCCATGGGGACACAGTGTCTTGTAGGCAGAGGTGCCAGGCAGAGGGCAGAGCTCGCAGCTGGGCCCCCAGCCACGGCCACCCCCACAGCAGCACACGGCCCTGGGCACAGCCTCAGCACTGCTCCAGCGGCCCGGGCACATGGCCTGCAGCACCTCGGAGAAGCAGCGTCCCTTCCGGGCATCTGTAGGGAGCCAGTGGAGACATGAATAGGAGAAGCTCGGGGTCCAGGACCCCCTCGTGCATATGCACAGGGCAAAACCTTCAACATCCTTATCTGGACACCATGAAACACCCTCAGTGGCCCGGGACGGAAGCAACAGACCCACCCAACCCTCAGTGATAGCCTGAGCTGGACTGCAGAGGCAGGACAGCTTCTTGGGGACAAAGAGACCCATCCTTTGGTCACCGAGAGATTGGATGGCCGAGGGGCGGCAGGGAATCCAGGGAACATTGGGGTGGGGGGCGCCTGGGACAGAACGGCAGGAAAATGACACCCAGAGACAGATGGGAAAGGGGGGCATGAGCAGACTGGACGCTGGTGTGGGAAGACGTGTCACTCTGGGAAGCTCGCTTGGGAACCTGCTGCTGAGCTGAGCATGGGGACAAAGAGCATGAGCTCCCTTTGGGGCAAACTACACTGTGGGGGCCAAGGACAGGGGCATCCAGGAGGCCTCTTGGGATATGCACATCTGGCCTGGAGCTGTGGGGTGGATGCTGCCTCAGGAAAACGTGTGAGGACTGGAACGGATAAAGGGGCTGGACAGACATGGTCACACAGCTCACACACCGGGTTTGGCTCCCAGGAAGTTGGAAATTGGAGAGCTCATTCCTGGGTGCTGCTTCTGGCTTTGGAGGAATCGTGGGGGACAGGTCGGGGAGGGGGAGGCGGAAGGTCTTCTGGGATGTTTGAGTGAAAGGATAAAAGCAACTGGGGATTTAGCTCAGTAGTGCAAGGTCCTGAATTCAATCCCCAGTATGGAGTGAAAAAAAAAAAAAGGACAAAAGTAAGAGTGGTGTGTGTGTGCATGTGTGTGTGCAGTAGACATGCACTGGACTGCCTCAGTTGCCACCTGCCACCCTGTCCCTGCTTCCTGGAGCTCCTGGGGACTGCAAGGGACAGGCATCACCTCCCTCCTGCCTGGCCACACTCACCGTGGCACTCAGTGAGGGTTGAGCTGGGCTGGAAGCCCTCGTGACAGTCACACTGGAAGCTGCCCACGGTGTTGATGCATTGGCCATGGGTGCAGATGGTGGGGTGGGCTCGGCATTCGTCCTCATCTAAGGTGGGAAGGAAGAAGCAGGCCAGGGAGCAGCCAGGGCCCTGAGCCAGCCCCCCTGGCCTTGAATGTCCTCCCTCAGGGGGTTTCTGTGCACCCCGTACCTATACAGCCCTCCCTGGAGCTGGGCTGGGGCCGCATGCCCGGGGGGCAGATGCACATGAAGGTGCCGATGAGGTTCTTGCACAGCATGCCGAGGGCGTGGCAGTCTTGTGACCCCTCTGCACACTCATCCACATCTTTGGACGACCAGGGACAGGGCTCAGTAAAATCCAGGTGCTCCACGGTGCAGCCCCAGTGGAGCCTGTCCTGGCCAGAAGGGAGCCCCCAGGCCATGGCCAGCCCCAGAGGGTTCAGAACCGCACCCCCAAACCCCCCTCCCTTGCCTAAGCGGGGTCTGAGAGTCTGCCGGGTAGGCTGCCACCATACCCCAGAACTGGGACTCAGAAGCAGCCCTCAGGGCCACATCCCAGCCTCATGGTCTCTTGCCCTTGACACAGTGCACTTGGGACAAGGAAGCCTCTGTGGCTTTGGTGGGAGGGGCTTCTGTGTGTACTGCAGGGAGCCAGTGCCTCCTCCCTTACTGTAACAATAAAGAGTGTCACAGAGGTGACCACTGTCCCCTCTGCCCTTCCCCACTCAGGACAGGGGCAGCCTCTGCTGTCCTGTTAGGCTCTGGACCAAGGGAGATGTCATGGATCCATTTTATTTTATTTTATTTAGGGCAGGGCAGGATCTCACTATGTAGTTGAGGCTGGTGTTAAGTCACTAGGTTGCCCAAGTTGACCTTGAACTAGCAGAGATCCACCTGTCTCAGCCTCCTGAGTGCTGGGATGACAGGCGTGCACCGGCATCCTATTCTTTGGAGTATGACAATGACACTGCCCAACAGAGCACCTTCTGCAAGCTCACTTGGCTCAGCACCATGGGCTCCCTCGAACCCTGGGGGCTTCAGCTCTCATTTCTCTGTTTTATAGGCAGGAAGTGGAGGAGCTGAACCCACACTTCAGTCTGTTGGGACTCTGGGGCCCAGGATGAACCTACATGCAGGAGGGATCGTGGATGGAGAGTGAGGAGCCCCGGGCCCTGCCCAGCGCCTGCTGTGTGGAGCCCACCTTGGCACGTGGCCGCATCCTCACGCAGGGCGTAGCCAGCCGGGCAGGAACACATGTAGGAGCCCTCGGTGTTGTGGCAGCGGAAGGCGCAGAGCAGCGGGTTCAGCAAGCACTCGTCCATGTCTGTGGGAGCCGGCAGAGGTGTCTCCTGGGTGGGGTCCGCCCCTGGGATCCCCACTTCCACCCCCAGGCCGGGCCCCTGGTGTCCGTGTCACACAGCCCCGCGTCCTGGGCAGCCAGCCTTGTACCCCCCCAGCTGGCCGTGGGGCCGGGCTCAAAGCCCTCGGCGCAGGCACACTCGAAGCCCCGGATGACACTGTTGCACGTGCCTTCCCCACAGGGCTGCCCCCCAGAGCACTCGTCTGTGTCTGCGTGGGAAGAAGGGCTGGTCAGGCCCATAGAGGCCCTGCCCTCGGTACTGTCCCCTCTGCCTCCCCAGGGACACCACGGGTGGGAGAGACAAAGTTGGCACCTCAGGCTGAATGAATGAACGAGGGAACAAGTGAAAAGCGAGCAAAGTGAATGGATAAGCAAGGGGCTGCTGGGGAAAATGAATGAGAGAGTTAATGCCTGCTGCCTGAGTGAGAGGTGTGACCAAGTGAATGAACAAATGACTAAGGGGCCGCCGGGGAGCGAACGGGTGGCTGAAGTGAGTGAGGGAGGACGGGGAGGGTCTGCGGGCCTCACTCACCCACACAGCCGATGCCCGTGGGGCCCAGGCTGTAGCCAGAGGGACACTCGCAGCGGAAGGAGCCATCGGTGTTGACACACAGACCATCGCTGCAGAGGCCTGGGTTCTCCGCGCACTCGTTCACGTCTGCAGCAGCAGGGTTGCAGGCAGTGTGGTCATTGCAGGCCCAGGGCACCCACGGGTCTCGAGGGCACTGGATTCCAGGGATCCGGACAGAGCTGAACAGGTGCAGCGGGCTCGGGGCTCACCTTCTCTGGAATCCCCTGGGCCTGGGACCGCCCCGTGGCCAAAGGGACAGAGCTCCTGAAAAGCAGCTGGACAGGAAGGGGGAGGGGAGTCAGACTCAGGACCCCGGCACAGGGCGAGGATGCGGAGGGAGGACGGGCGCAGGACAGGGCAGCCACTCACCACCGGCCTCCTGAGGACACAGCTCGCAGGGGTCGCCCCAGGCCTCCCCCGGCCTCTTGCTGCAGCAGCACCGGGTCTTGGTGGTGTTGAAAGCTTTAGGCACCAAGCACTTTCCAGCCTCAAAGCGAGTGAAGCAGAAACTCTGCCGTGTGTCTATGGGTGGGGGTGTCAAGGGCCAGCAGGAGCAAGCTCTTACCCAGCTGCCCTTCTTCACCCGAGTCCAGGTGAAGGGGCGGTGCTGATTCTACCAGCACCCAATCAGAACACCCCACCTCCCTGGCTGTGGTGATTGGCTCAGGGATGTACATGTGACTCCTGTTGAGCCAATGATGTTCAGCCCTGGGACTTTGGCTGGGTAGAAGGGAATCCTCAACAGCAACATTCCAACCTATTCATTCCTGGAGAGGCAAAGCCACTGATTCTGGAGAGCTGGAGGACCCTGGGCTTCAGATCCCAAAATCCCAGACCTTGGCTCTACTCAGAATCCTAACAGCCTGAGAAGTCCTGGGACTAGCAGAACTGCAGTGTACAGAGGCACTGGTGTCTTGTCAGGCTCCTATAATGTTGTATGAAAACCACAGCCTTCCTTTCCTGGGTGATTGGACACTCTTCCCACTCCACCTCCCACCACCCTTTTCCTGAACCACCCTCTGCACCCTGTGCCCGGCTCACCAAAGCAACGGTGCCCATGGTCAGAGGGGGCAAAGCCAGGCGGGCAGAGGCACTGGAAGCTCCCGGGACTGTTGGTACATGTCCCAAAGAGGCAGAGGTTGGGATCCTCCAAGCATTCGTTGATGTCTGGAGGGGCCGGGACATGAGCGGGGAGGGGTCCAAGTGGGACCTCCAGCAGGGTGAGGAGGGCCAGATGGAGTAGGGATCCAGGGCAGAGAATCTGAAGCCTCAGTATGACCCACGGCACTGGGTGGGTAGTGTGTATGTGGGAGAGTCTGCCAGAAAGTGTCTCCAGTGTAGGGGTCACAGTCAGGAAAAGTTCATCATTAGAGCCTGAAATTAGCAATCCTCCTGCCTCAGCCTCCCACAGTGCTGGGATTGCAGGTGTGGACCACCACACCTAGCAGGAAACTTGTATTTTCAAGGCAGCCTCACCCTAAACCATGTACTCTGTGAAAACAGGAGGTGCTAGTGTTTTTCTTTTTATACCTTAAAATAAATGCATGGATATTAAATGGAGCCACGCTCACTGAGAAGTACAAACTTCCGGGCAGTGTGGAGCAGAGGCTGCTGAGACAGCTCCAGCCCTGTGGTGACACTCACCCACACAGTTCTTCCCATCAGCTGTGACCGCAAAGCCTTCCTGGCAGAGGCAGTGGAAGGAGCCGGCTCTGTTGAGGCACTGTCCTGATCGGCACACCTGCCCTGCCATGGTGCGACACTCGTCAATGTCTGCAGAGAAGGCATGGGCAGGAAGGGTCAGCCAGAGAGCCTGCAGGAACCGAGCCTCTCCTGCATTTCCACCTTCAGCTATGCTGAGCTGATGATACTGACTTCTATTTATTGAGCACTGATGTACACATTTCTATATATTAACCTTCCTGCCATCCTATGAGGTGGATACTGGTGCTTTCTGATATGACCACACAACACTGTGCATTTGCCTCTGAATGCTCTTGTCTTAGTGACTTCCCTGTCCTTGGACACAATATCTGACACCCACAGCTTAAAGGAGGAGAGTTCTGTTTGGGCCCATGGCTTCAGTCCATGGTTGGCTGGCTCCCAGCAGAAACAAGATGGTGGAAGGGCCTGGGGAGAAAAGGCGCTCAGCTCATGGCTTCTGTGACCAACTCCAACCACTCCCACCTCCACAGAGCACATTCAGGTACTAAACTCATTAGTGGGTGAATCCACTGACGAGTCTCTAACCCCATGAGCCAACCACCTTTCAAACACATGAGAATTTGAGGGACATTTTAGTCTAAAACATAAGAATTCTCTTAGCTGTGCCCCACTCATTTTGATATGTTATGATTTCATTTGCATTTAATTCTACATATTTTTCTAATTTCCCCTTATGATTTCTTCTTTGACCTATGAGTTATTCAGGAGTATGTTGTTTGATTTCCAAATATTTAGACATTAAATCTTTCTGTGATTGATTTCTCATTTCAGTCCAGTACAACCCAAGGAACTACTTTGTGTGACTTCACTTTTTAAAATCCCTTAAGGTTATTTTTATGGTCCATTGTATGGTGTTCCTTGGTGAATGTATCTGACAAGAATGTGGATTCTAGAATGTTCTAGAGGTTGAGATGGTATCACTCAGGTCTTCTATATCCTGACTCATTTCCTGTCTACTTATTCTCTCTCCCTAGTACTGAGGGAGGTATGTTGAAGCTGCCAGCTCTACTTATGGATTTGTCTACTTCTTTTTTTCAGTTCTGTAAATTTTCACTTTATATATTTTGAAGCTCTATTGTTGGATGCATTTATGATTATATTTTCTCAGAGAACTGACCCCTATATATAATGTCTCTCTCTATCTCTGGTGATATTTCTGTTGTTTTTGTCTGTTTTTTGAGACAAGGTCTCACTATGTAGCCCAGGCTGGCCTTGAATTTGTGGTGATCCTCCTGCCTCAGCCCCCTGAGTGCTGGGATTACAGGCATGCACCACCATGCCTGGCTTTCTGGTAATATTTGGTTCTTTTTTTTTTTTTTTTGAGACAGGTCCTTGGCTATGTAGTTCCAACTGGCCTTAAACTCACTGTGTAGCCCAGGCTGGCCTCAAACTCACAGTGATCCTCCTGTCTCGGCCTCCTGAGTGCTGGGCTCACAGGTGTTTGCCACAGCACCCGGCACTGGTAATATTTCTGTTGAGAAGTCTGATATTGCTCTGATAAGCACTACTATTAATCCTCCTTTCACAAATAAGGAAATGGAAGCACAGGGAGGTAAATTGCCTGACAAGGGTCACACTGCTGGTAGGTGACAAAGCTGGGATTTGAACCCACACCGCCTGATCTTGGAGTGCATCCTTTCACCCAGTGACCCAAACTGGGTAGTGCTATACCACCAAGGTCTTTGACTTTTCACCTCCTTCTCTTAGGATTTCTCCAGAGAAGAAGTCCTAGGGGAAGTCAGAAACTATTTTGAATTCAATCCAAATGAGAACACAACATATTAAAATGTGTGGGATGCAGCTAAGAGGGCACGCAGAGGCCAGTTCATAGCATTAGGTCGTGCGGTCGATTTGCCTGCCATCATCCTTGGCATAAACTCTGACAAGAGGACCCCTACAACCCCCCACCCCAACCCGCCACGGAGAAAACGAAGGGGTATGGAGAATGGTTGACTTGTTTCCAGAGGAAATTCGAATCCCTGAGGTCATTTTTTTTGCAAAAGGCGCCCTTGGGCCAGGCATCCACGTTTCAGTGGGGAGGACACGCCCATCTGCCCACCCGGCTCACCCACACAGTTCCCGCCACGGGCTGCCGCAAAGCCAGGGGAGCAGAGGCAGGTGTAGGAGCCAACGGTGTTCTTGCAGGTCCCGTTTCCACACGGCTGCTTCTCGCACTCATCGAGGTCTGTCAGGGCAAAGAAGCCAAGACCCCTTCAGGCACCAAGTGGATGGGATGGTGGAGGAGAAGGCTGGGACCCTAGAAGGGACGGCTGGGAAGTACCCGGATACCATCTATGATACTCATTTTATGGATGGGAAAACAGACAGGCAAAAACAAAGCAAGTCGTTTATCCAAGACCTGAGCGCCAGGGTTCACATTCGGGTCTGTCTGTGAACTACGGTGGATGGAAGAGCCCTGCCCACCCCAGGGGCGGGACAGACCCCAGGCAGGGCCTGGCCCAGGAGGTCCTCACCCACGCATAGGGTCCCGTCTGCCACGACCCGGAAGCCGCGGTGACACAGGCACCTGTAGCTGCCCTCCGTGTCCACGCAGTCGCCATGGCTACAGACATTGGGGCGCTCCTGACACTCGTTCGGACCTGGGGGTGCAGGCAGCGTGGTGTCCCCAGGTGTTCCACCCCATAAAGGCTGACCTCACTCTCCCTGAGCCCTAGCATGACAAGGTCTTGCTATGCAGTGCAGTCCAGACTGGCCTTGAACTCACAGCAATCCTCCTGCCTCAGCCTCCCAAGTGCTGGGATGACAGGCGTGCACCACTACGCCTGACTCCATGTAAAAAGAATCAAAATGTGTCAAGTCCCAAGGATAAATGTAAATGTATTGTATACCTAAAATGTACCAATTAATATATAAATAAATAAAAAATGTGTCAAGTACCTGGACCAACTTCCTATGATGAATGTAATCAGTGTGCACTGCAAATATGTACTACTACTTATAAAAATTAAAAAAATTTTTTAAAAAGAAAAGGAGACAGGTCATGGCGGTGCATCCTGTCATCCCAGAACTTGGGAGGCTGAGGCAGGAGGATCACTGTGAATTTAAGGCCAGCCTGGGATACATAGTGAGTTCAAGGCCAGCCTGAATTACAAAGCAAGACCCAATCTCAAAAAAAAAAGTTGAAAGAGGGCTGGGGATTTAGCTCAGTGGTGCCTGCCTTGCAGGAGTAAGGTCTTGAGTTCGATTCCCGGTACCAAAAAAAAAAGTTGAAAGATAAAGATAGATAGATACAAAGAGAGTAGGGCTGGGGATTTAGCTCAGTGGTTCTGCTGCCTGCCTCACAAGGGCAAGGACCTGAGTTCGATCATTGGTACCAAAAAAAAAAAAAAAAGATACCAGATACAAAGAGAGAGAGAGACTGAGAAAGAAAGAGAGAGAGAAGAGGGAGGAAGAGAGGGAGGGAGGAGGAAGGAGACCCAGATAGAACCATTCCCTACCCAAGTCACAGCAGGTGATAGGGCCCTGTGTCCCCTGGCCCTCCCCAAGGACCTCGCTCACCCACGCAGTTCCCACTGGCTGACAGCCTGAAGCCCCGCGCGCACTGGCAGCGGTAGCTGCCGGGGAAGTTGATGCACTCCATGTTCCTGGGGCAGGGCCTCTCCCTGTCCGCACACTCGTCCACATCTAGAGAACCCAGGGAACAGGGTGGAGATGGAGAGCCCAGCTGGACAGAATCAAATCCCGGAAACAGGGCTTGCCCGTGCTTCTCTGGCACTGTGCCCTGCTCTGCTTCCCAGCCACCATGACCTAAGCAGCTTTGCTCTGCCAGGCCCTTCCTCCATGATGCTCCTGACCATGGACTGAATCCTCTGAAACCGTAAGCCAGATCAGCCTCTCCTCCTCTAAGGTGTGGGTGTCGGGTATTATGTCCAACAACAAAAAGCCAACAAATACAGCCCACTCTATAGATAAGGAAACTGAGGCTCCAAGAGTTTATAAGACCAGATTGCACAGTGGGGAGCCAGCATCCCACCCAGACCCCAGGGCTAGGGACGGAGGGGCCGGCACCTTTGCAGGCCAGCAAGGCACTGTTGTGCTCGAAGCCTGAGGGGCACTCGCACTGGAAACTTCCAACCTGGTTGACGCAGATGCCATGGGTGCAGATAGCTGGAATCTCCCCACACTCGTCAATGTCTGGGGAGGACACGAGCCATCAGGGGCACCCCGGTCCCCAGGGCCTCCTGGGCCCCCACTCGTCCTGGAGTCTGGTGGAAAATGTGGCTGAGACCAGTACATAGTCCAGAAGCCTCCTGTGGCCAAAATGTGTCTACTTGGATCAGGGGGAAGTCAGGGTGAGGGAGGAAAGGAGCGGAAGGAGGGAGGTTGTTTGCAGCTAAAAATGCACACTTCAGTTGGGTGTGGTGGTGCGAACCTGTTGTAATTCCAGCACTCTGGGAGGCTGAGGCAGGAGGATTACAAGTTTGAGCCTAGCCTGGGCAACTTCATGGCATAGTGAGAGCCCAAAGGCCCTGGGTTCAGTCCCTAGTGCTGCAAAAAAGGAGAAGCGCGCGCGCACACACACACACACACATATCCTGTGATTCAGCAGCCCTGTTTCATGGAATGTATGAGACCAAAGCAGCTCTGCATGACAATGAAAACTCAGAGGGAACAATATTTATAAAAAAACAAACCTGGAAATATCAATTGGTGAACGGATAACCAAATATGAAATACCCATGCCGTGGAATATTGCTGGGTCACGTGAAAGACTGAAGCACTGGAGCGTGCCACAGTGTGGATGAACCCTGGAAACATGTCACTGAAAGGGTGTCGTGGCCCAGCCAAGAAGCCAGGTGCAGAAGGGCGAATACTGTATGGCTCCAAAGACAGGAAGTGTGCAAAGCTGGTAAATCCATGGAGACAGGAAGCTCACTGAGCCAGGGCTGAGGGGAGCAGCAGTGAGTGCCTGCTAAGGGGGGCAGGGCCTCTCCTCCCCTCTCCCTCCCTCCCTTCCTAATACCATGGCACTCAGGATTGAATCCAGGGCCTTTACACTCAGCTATATCCCAAGACCTTTAAAAAATTTAAAACAAAATTTTTTTTCCAGGCATGGTTCCACACCTCTGTAATCCCAGCACTCTGGGAGGCTGAGGCAGGAGGTCTGCCAGTTGGAGCCCAGCCCAGGCAGCTGAGTGAGTTAGTGAGAGATTGTTTCAAAGTAAAAAGTAAGGCAGGGGTGGAGATGCAGCTCAGTGTGAAAAGCCCTGTGTTCAGTCCCCAGTGCCAGAAAAAAAAATAATTTGTATCTACACTGAACATGGACAGACTCTTCTTTTCTTGTTACTATTTCCTAAATCAAAAGCCAAGCACTGGCTGATCTCTCTCCTAGCAGGTCCCTGGAGCTGTCAGAACCACGGCGACAGGAAATAGGACAGTGGGTGCCCAGCTGGGGAGGGTGGGACTTCCTGTTTCATGGGGTCAGATCCTGTGCGGGACAAGGAGACCCTCCTGGAGGGGACTGGTAGGGAGGGCTCATGGCCACGTGAATGTGCTTCGTGCTGTGCAGTTGTGTGCTGAAAAATGGCTAAATGGTGAATTTTATGTTGTGAGTATTTATCCATCATTCAAAAAAAGATGAAGGACAATTTAATAAAAATACTCACTGTTTCAGAAGAGAGCGGTTGGGGGTAGCGGGAGGAGGCCGTGGTGTCACTCACCAGCAGGCTCCCCCGTGCGGACGTTGACGACGAAGCCCGGGACCTGGTTCCCACACAGGACCTGGTAATCGGCTGGCAGAAGACAGCAGGGCTGCGGACCAGACCCTGGGCCCGAGAACTGCCCCCTCTGCCCTGCAGCCAGCCCTCTCCTGGCCACCTCTCTGTCCCCCTCTCCACCCTGAGCAGCCAGGTTCAAGGCCACCCTGCACCTGCGTGCTGGGGCTTCCCACTGCTTTCCTGCAGGGCCCACTCCAGCCGTGCTCACCGCCCCCTGCCCCAAGCATCCCTCCTGAACTTGGAAGCCGGGCACGGTTGTGCAGGCCTGCAGTCCCAGCTACTCAGGAGGCTGAGGCAGGAGGATGGCAAGTTCAAGCCCAGCCTGGCCAATTTAGGGACTTAGTCAGACCCCGTCTCAAAATAGAAAGGGCTGGGGATGTAGCTCAGTGTGAAGGTCCTGGGTTCCATGCCCAGTATCAAAAGGCGAATTTTTCCTGCACCTGGGCCAGAAGTGTACCTGTGTGCCTAACTCTGACCTGCTCCTAGCTGCCATGCTCTCATGTGCCTGCTGTGCCCTCTGCCCAGACTGCACTGCTCCCTTTGCCTCTCCAGTGTCCCCTGAAGTTGACATGTTGGAAACAGACCCCCCCCAAAGTCCTGCGCTGGTGGTGTCTGGAGATGAAACCTTTAGGAGGTGCTTAGGGTTGATGAGCCACACCCCAGCCACACCCCTCTTTTTTTCCCTTTTCTGGTACCGGGGATCGAACTCAGGACCTTGCACTTGCGAGGCAGTTGCGGTGCCACTGAGCTAAACCCCGGCCCCACACACCCCTTTTCGTGGCTGAACCCAGGGTCTTTGCACTGAGCTGCATTCCCAGCCCTACTTATTGATTTATTTCGGAGACAGGGTCTTGCTAAGTTATCTAGGCTGGGCTCGAAAACATGATCCCCCTGCTTTCCAAAGCAGCTGGGATGACAGGTATGCACAAAACCTCTATTCTCTGTAAGTTACCAGGTCCTGGGTGTTTTGTTACAGCAAGAGAAGACCAGCCAGACCTGCATTCTGTTTTTGTTTTGTGAGGCAGAGTCTTGCTAAATTGCTGAGTTGTCTGGGCTGAGCTTGAATTTGGCGATCTTCCTACCTCAGCCTCCCAGAGTGCTGGGAGGACAGATGGCCCCACCACGCCCCGCTCTTCTAACAGGTTGATCACCCAGTTCCCCCGCCTCTCTGCACCCTAAGTGCTGTTGTGTCAGGGCCGGGTCTTTCCCAGAGCCCCCCAGGTCCACCCCTCCCCCAGCCCAGGGGAATCCCTGCTTCTCCACCCAGCTGCGATTTCCTCCCTGGCCCTCTGAGGGCTCAGCGAGCTCCGCCGCCTGCCTCTGCCTGACTTCAAGAGCTTTTCCCACCAGCGGGAGACCCACTCGTCCACCCAGGACTTGTAAAGTCTCCCCAGCAGAGGGAAGGCTGCTTGGCTTTCCGCAAGCCAGGACCTCGCTCTGACCCTCCCGCTCTCATCAGAAGAGGGCGGGCTGGTCTAGGCGCCCCCACTGCAGGTGCGCGGGGAAGGGCCAGGCTGGGAAGAGGAAGGGGGAGGGCGCTCACGGCTGGTGGGGGTGGGGCAGGCCTCGCAGGGTCTATTCCAGGCCTGGCCGACGTTGTAGGCGCAGCAGCACGTCTTCCGGGTCACGTTGAAGGCCAGTTCATTCCCACAGGTGCCATTATAGTGCCGGAAGCAGAGACTCTTTCTCACGTCTGTAGTAGGAGTGGGAGAGAAGAGTTAGTGTGGGAAAGGGCTGCTTCCGGTCAGAAGAAGAGAGGCCAAACAGATGGAAATTCGTGATGGATCTATCTGGACGTGACGGGCTTGATGTGTCTTTCTCAACACACTTGCAAGCACTGTTCTTAGTTTAGCCTTTCTTGGACAATGCACAACCTGCACAACCGTTCATATGGCAGCCTTAGGCTCCTGAATCCTGTAGCCTTATTCGAAGACAAAGATCAGCACTTCAGATATGCTCATCCTTCCTCTCTTTTCTTCCTCAAACATTTTTCTCTCTTTCAAGTATGAAAAGCTCCTAAGCAGTCCCTCCCGTACTCAGGTGCTGCTCCAGCAATTTCTTGGGCCCTGGCTGACACACTTCTCACTCATGCAGTTGTTGCCACCGTTGACTTGCAGGTACTGGGCAGGCAGACACAGGTGTAGCTCCCTAGGGTGTTGTAGCACGTGCCAGGGCCACAGATGCCCACGTGCATGGAGCATTCGTCAATATCTGAGGAGAGGGAGGGACGGAGGACAGTGGCAGGCAGTGGCAGGAGCCGAGTGAGTCCTAGCCAGGCCCAGGGAACCACCACACAGGGACTGCAGCTTGCATTCAAAGTCAGCTTAGAACTGTGCGGACATCTCAGGGACGTGGAAAGACAGGAGGCACCATGATGTGAAAGAAGTTTTCCATGATACCATGTCTGTTAAAAATGGACTAACTTAGGCCGGGGATTTAGCTCAGTGGTTCCGCCACCTGCCTCGCAAGCTCAAGGTCCCAAGTTGGATCCCCGGTACCAACAACAACAACAAAAAAGGACTAAGCTGAGAAAATGCCTACTCCTTCCTCACAGCCTCACTTAAGCCAGGCCTGGTGGCACACTCTTGTGATTCCAGCACTCCAGGAGGCTGAGGCAGGAGGACTGCAAATTTGAGCCCAGGTTGGGTGACTTAGCAACTTAGTGAGACCCCTGTCTCAAAAAACAAGGGAAAAGAAAACAAAAAACATGGAGGTTTAGTTCAGTGCAGAAGTACTGGGCTCAATCTGCAGTACTGAAAAACAAACAAAAAACCCAGGTCTTAGGAGTGGATTTTCTTATCACTAAGCAGTTGTTCCTGCTTATCTTTGGGGAATGTGCTCTATGGCCCTGAGTGCTTGCTTGACACCATGGATGCTATCAACTGCATTTATACTGTTTTTTTCTGATACACACACAACTGTGGTGAAGCTTAATTTCCAAATTAGGCACAGTGTGGTTTTAACAACAATAACTAATAATCAAACAGAACAATCATACTGTAAGAAAAGTTACTTAAAACTTATTTATTGGGTATTTCTGGAATTTTCACACTCAATATTATGAGATTGAGCTGGGGCTGGTGGTGCATGCCTGTAAGCCTAGCTCAGGGAGGCTGAGACAGGAAGATCTCAAATTGGAAATCAGCCTAAGCGACACAGAAAGTCCCAGGGCGGCCTGGACTACAATGCAAGACCCTATCTCAAAAAACTAAGGTGGGGAAGCATGGACTCAATATTTTCAGATTCCAGCTGACTGTGGGTAACTGAAACCACAGAAAGTACACGTGTGGATGGGGGAGGACCACACTTATAGGGGGAAGAATTGATTCTCAATCTAATCAATTCCTCCAGCCCAGAGGCAGCAAACTTTTGGTGTAAAGGACCAGATCATCTGGGGGGTTTGGAGCCAAATTTCAGTCTCTCATAATTTTTCAATCTGTCATTGTAGTTACTACTGGTTGCAAAGAAGAAAAAGGAAGGAAGGAAGGAAGGAAGGAAGGCTGGCTGGATGTATAGATGAATAAATGAATGGATAGATGGGTGGGTGGGTGGATGGACAACAGGTGGATAGATGATGGATGATGGATGATGGATGGATGAGTGGATGGATGGTAAAGTAGCTACTGAAGGCAGAGCAGAATAAACCAGGGCATTTAATGTGGTCTTCCCTCTGTGACCCTTATGAAGCCTGGCAGAGCAGGAAGGCAGGGAGCCAGGGAAGAGCCTGGCCCAGCCCGGGGAGAGTCCCACTCACCCTCACAGACTTGGGTGTCCCGATGGAGCTGGTGTCCTGCCGGGCACTCACACTGGAAGCTGCCGAAGGTGTTCACACAGTTGCCTCCCTGGCACAGCCCTGGCAGCTCCTGGCACTCATCAATATCTGCCAGGAAGTGAGGGAAGCTCAGTGTGGGTCCGAATCCATGCTGAAGACCCAGGCTGCCCCGGGCTCGCTTTGCTCCTTCAAGGACATCCAAGCGCTATCCCATGGACATTTGGGGGTTTATCTCAAAGGCTGGGCCAAGACTCTCTCACGACAATGTCAGCTTGAGTCCAACTCCTTTCTTTTCATCTAGGGGTTCATCCTCCTGTCCACTGCAATTCCAAGAAGGAATGCCTTCTCCAAGCTCACCACCCCGACAGGTAGGACTGATGGAGGATGGGTGGGTGGGTATGAAAAGTAGTGGGAGGTACATGAGCAAGTGGGTTAACAGATGAGGAGATGACTGTGGGATGGATGGATCCATGCATGGATGGACAGATGGATGGATGGGGTATGGGCGATGGGGAATGGAAGGGAGGATGGACAGGTGGGTGGAAGGAGGATGGGTGGTTAGAGAATGATGGACACATGGGTGAGTGGACAGATGGATAGGTGAATGGAGGATGGATGACAGATGAAAGATGGGTAGCCAAATGGGTGGATGGAAGGATAGAGGATGTATGGGCAGATGAGTAGGACAGATGGGTGGATGGGGAATGAATGGATGGGGGATGGAGGATGGGGAATCAGTGGATGGAAATGGACCCAAAGATGGATATATGGATAAATGGAAGGATGATGGTTGGATAGATGAATGGATGGGTGGAAGGATGGGTGGACGAATGGGGAATCAAGGGATGGACAGGTGAATGAAGGGCTGGTGGTTGGATAGATGGATGGGTGGGTAGACAAATGGATGAGTGGATGGGAGGGTAGACCAACAAACCAACAAATGGAAGAAGTAGTTTAAAAAATAAATTGAAAATTCAACACAAGCCAAAAGCGTACTGTGGCTCTGGTGCCTGGGAAGGTATGTGTTGCCCCAGGTCACATGCCAGGCTCCCTGCCCTGCTGCTCTGGTGAGGAGGGAAGGTCAGTCAGTGGCTGGAGCTGGATGCTGGTCAGGGACTCACCTTCCAGAATGACAGTGACGGGGTTTGGCCGGAAGCCCTCACCGCCTGGGCACAGGGTTCTGTACGCAGCTGCAAGGGAAAGGGCTCCTGTGAGGGCTGGGGGTGGGCATGTGCGCAAAGCCTAGGGTAAGCAGGGCCCCGAAGGACTCAAGAGTGGGACCCTCTGCTGCACCAACTACATCTGCCCATCTGCATCATCTCTTGGGGCCAGGAGCCCTTGGCCAGTCTCAGGGCTGCCGGGGGACTCAGTATCTGTGTGTGTGGGCAGGGGTGTGTACAATGTGCACTCACCTCTACCATGTGAGCAGGTGGATTATGAGGTAATGGCTTTGCTGCATTGCACACCTTCCCCCTACTTTCTAGGAAAACTCCTATTCATCCTTCAAAACCTCTCTTAAGCCTCCTCTTGTGGAAATCTTCCATTACCGCCTTCCTCTCCACAGCTTCCTCCTGGGCCATCACAGAGCTTCAGACAGACCCTTATGAGAGCTTGACTCTCACAGCAGCTGTGGCTTACCCTTCTCTGGGTCCCCAGCCCATAGCACAAGGCAGCTTCCAATGTTTTCTGGCTGACCGAGCAATAGGTACAAATACACAGAGAACAGTGACCTTGGAGAGAGGCCTGGCGCATGCACTGCCATGGGCTCGCGTGTGGCCAGGATGGACCCCTCTCCCTCCTTGGGTCCCTGTGGCTTGGGCCCAACACCAGCTCTGTGGAAGGACTCACTGGAGTTGGCCATCGGGCACAGCTCACAGGGGTTGCCCCAGGCCCGGCCCAGGGAGCAGCAGCAGGAGGCTCGGGTGACACCAACTCCGATCTTGGCTCTGCAGGAGAAGCCGCCATCCCCGCGGCCCTGTGTGTCCAGGAAACAGTTCCCAGCCCGGGTGTCTGCAGGGCAGGAGGCACTGGTTAGCAGGTGAGTTGCAGCAGACACTGCGTCATGCGCGTGTGTGTGCATCTGTGTGTGTGTAAGCTGTCTGTACACACGCATCTGTGTGTGCACAAGCTTCCGCAGGTAACTGTGGTCTCCATACGGCTATGTGCGCGTGCGCCTCTGGGTCTCCCCACGTGACTGTGCCTGTGCCCCTGTGTGTGTCACTGTGTTTCCATGTGGTCCTGGTGTCCCCTGTTGCGGTCGCTGTGTGTCGTCTCCGTGTGTCGCTGTGTGTGCCTGGGACTCACATGTGTGTGTGGTGTGTGAGTGTTCCCCAGTGGGGTAAACAAGGAAAATGACGCAGGGCCCAGCAGGGAAGAGGCGTGCAGCACTGTGTGATTGTGTATGCGTGTGGCTCAGCCTTTGTGTCCCGACATCTGTGCCGTATCTCTGCAAGCCACAGGGGCTGTCACTCCCGGCCCGGCAGCTGGACCAAGCTCGGACTCACCCACGCATCCCACCCTGCTGGGGTTCAGCTCGAAGTCCTGGGGGCAGCTGCAGAGGTAGCCGCCGGGGGTGTTGACACAGAGGCCATTGATACAGTTCACCGGGTTTGCACACTCGTTCACATCTGGGGGGCAAATGCTGTCAGCACTGGGGAGTCCTCCTCCACCCCAGTTCTGCTCAGGAAGCCACAGCCTTTCTGGGGGTCCACTCTTGGGTGCTTGCACTACGGGACAAGGCTGTGTCCTGGCCAGGCCTGGGGGGTGCACACCTGTCATCCAAGCACTCTGGGAGGCTGAGGCAGGAGGATCGTGAATTCGAGCCCAGCCTGGGCAACTTAGAGACTCAGTGAGACCCTGTCTCAAAACATTCAAAAAGGGCTGGGGATGGAGCTCAGCACAAAAGCCCTGGGTTCAAACTCCAGTACCACAAAATAAATAAATTAATTAAATTGAAAAGACTGTGTCCTTCCATGGGAAGAAACTGGAGGGATGGGGGCTCCAGAATCTGCCCCAGCCTGTCTGACTCCTCCCTGCCCTGCTCCAATCCACAGGCATAGAGGTTTCCCCTTGAAAACTCCCCACCCAGGCTCCGCACAGCCAGTGCACAAACCTCAGATTCAGAAACTGCTGCCAAATGAGGGAGTGGTAAAATCCAGCCCACTGCTTGTGTCAATAAAGTTTTATTGGGACCTGGCCCATTGTTTACACAGTGCTGCTTTCCAGCCGCACTGCCAGAGCTGAGCTGTGGGCCACAAAGACTGTATGGCTTGCAAAAATCAGGGTCTCTCTAGATGGCCCAGGCTGGCCTCAAACTTGTAATCCTCCTGTCTCACCTTCCTGAATAGCTGAGATTACAGGTCTGTGCCACTGCAGCCAGCTCTGCTCATTACTCGTTTATTTATATTATTATTTTGCAGGGCTGGGATCAAACCCAGGACCTTGCCCAAGCTTGGCAAGTGCCCTACCACTGAGCTACACCTCTAGCAACTTCTGCTCACTGGGTTTTTGTTTTTGTTTTTTGGTACCGGGGATCGAACTTGCGAGGCAGGCGGTGGCACCACTGAGCTAAGTCCCCGGCCCTGCTCACTGTTTTTTAAACACAGAGATGGGAGATCATTTTGGCAGCTGGGAAGGAAGAAGGGGGTTCATCATTCACTGGCTGCATTCATTCAGGGCACAGGAAGAGGGCAGCTTAGGCCGCCGCTCACCAGTGCAGTGGCCGCCCCCCGGGGTCCCGCTCATAGCCATCTGCGCATGCGCAGCGGAACAGGCCGGGCAGGTTCTCGCAGCTTCCGAAGGCGCACAGGTTCCCAAGCGCGCACTCGTCCACATCTGCAGGAACCCAGTTCAGCACGCCCTGCCCGCAGCGAGCAACGAGGACCCGCCAGGGACATCGAGGCACTGCCCGTTCTCGCACAGGTCCATGTCCTCGGCACATTCGTCCCTGTCTGAGGGGCAGGAGGAGCTCCCGGTGACCGGAACCCTCCACAGTCACTCAGGGACCCAGGCGAGGAGCCCTAGGGACAGGCCCTGGGGCGGGGGACAGGAGAGGAAGACAGGGGCTGCAGTGTGGAAAGGTGGCTGTGGACACGGGACTCCAGCCAGTGGGGCAGAGGGGACTTGGTCACCCAGGATCAGGCATGGAGGGCAGCCAGGAAGTAAGCTCCAACAAGCTGGGTGCGGCACTGCACACCTGTAATTTCAGCACTGTCAGAGGCTGAGCCAGGAAGATCTCCAATCAAGTTTGAGCCCAGCCCGGGCAACCCTTCGAGACCCTATCTCAGAAAACAAAGGAAGCCTGGAGATGTGGCTCAGTGTGGAGGTCCCAGGTTCAATGCCCAGTACCAAAAAAATAAACACTCTAACGGAGGAGGCGCTGCCTGAGACCCACAGGTGGGCAGAGGGCAGCCCATGGACTATGAGCGTGGTCTCTCCGGCACCGTGGTGATCTGCGGATGAAGCTGGCCCTGCGGCTGTTCCTCCTGGGCTCCCCCACCTACCTTCGCAGGAGACGCCATCCCCAGTGAATCCCTGCCGACAGGCGCAGCGGTAGGAGCCAGGGACATTGAGGCAGTCGGCTCTCGGGCTGCAGCGATGCCCCTGAGCAGCGCATTCATCCAAGTCTGCGGGAGATGGAGCCCAGAGCGCCTGGGGTGGCATCTCAGGTGCAGGAGGCCCCCACAGACACCCCAGCACCCACCATGTCCACCTTGCCCCTACGACCTCTTCTACTTTTTGGGGACTCCCTGCCTCAGGTACTCACCCTGGCACTCAAAGCCATCCCCTACCCAGCCTGGCCAACACCTGCAGCTGAAACTCCCGGGGACATTGAGGCAGGAGGCGTGGTCATCGCAGTTGTGTCCTCCAAACTCACATTCATCCACATCTGAGGGGAGGAGCAGCAGAAATGGGGCAGTCCCAGAAGGGGACACTCTGGCGGCAGCAGAGAGAAGGGACCCAGAAAGCCTCCTCCTCCCATCTTCATCCAGAGTCTAAGAGAGAACCCCCAAACCAACAGGCACGACTCCCTGTGGCCTCCCGAAACAGTCTGGAGTGGCAGCCTGAGAGGCTCAGGGTAGAAATTAAGAGTAACTGTCTCACCCAGGTGTAGTGGTGCATACCTGTAATCCCAGCTCTCAGGAGGCTGAGGCAGGAGAATAGCCTCAAGTTGGAGGCCAGCCTGGGCTACATAGTGAGTTCAAAGGCAACTTGAACTACATAGCAAGACCCTGTCTCAAAACCCCTCCACCCAAAAATCCATCGGGCCTGTCTGCTCTGGGAACAGCAGCTGGGCATATTGAAGCTCCCTCTGCTGAGCTGTTTAAGGGGAGCTCCAGGGGCACTTTATTCCCAGGAGGTCTTATTAGTGGGAATCCATAAGAATAAATTTTGACCATGCTCCGCCCTGAGGCATGGGGACAGTCCCCATGGGACAATACCAGTGATCTCCATGCCACCCCTCGGGGTTTTCTTCTGCCTGTAGCTGCCTTTGCTCACTTTCCAACTGCTCACTCCCTTTGCTCACCAGAGCAGCCCAAGGCCCCCTTCCTGATGGCATAGCCCAGCCGGCAGTGGCAGACAAAGGATCCTTCTATGTTCTTGCAGTTGCCATGGAGACAGATGTGGGGGTTCAGGTCACACTCATTCACATCTATGAAGGCAGGGGGAATGAGGCCTGGGGACGGATGCTGGGTTTAGGGTGGGGGGACCCCACCAGTGTTCCTGAGTGCCCAGTCACTCGGTCCCAGCCTTCGGTTTCATCTCCAGGGATGGAGAGCTCTGTCTGGTTCTCCTGCTGGGCAGCTGTGAGTGTTCTGTGAGCATTTCACAGCATGTGTGTTGTGAAACACACTAGCCAGGCATTCCCAAGAGGACTGCATGGTGGAATATATTTAGGGAGTGAGTTCCACAAAGCTATTTTCTTCCTGCTGAACTTTTCAGTCTTTATGTCAATGTGGATCTGTAACAGGGGAATGAAGCAGATAGCATTGCCTATTTTTTCCCAAGCCCCTTTCTAGAGTGCTCCTTGAGAAGACTCCTGGCAGCTGGAACTCTTAAACTTTCCGGTGTGGGGCTGGCTCATTGGTCAGGAGGTATATTGTTACAGGAGTTGCATTTTTATAGAAGTTACATTGTTGCAGGAGTTGCATTCTTACAGAAGTTACATTGTTACAGGAGTTGCATTGTTATAGGAGTTACATTGTTACAGGAGCTGTACTTGCACAAATTACATTGTTACTTCCTAGAATTTGCCAAGCCTCCCCTCCCCTCTGCTCTGACAGGGTATCCAGCACACAGCTATTCCCCAGACCCAGGACCACACTTGGGTGGGCAAGGACAGGGACTGCTCTGCTCAAATAGCCTGGGAGGTTCCTCAAACAAGGCTCAGAAGCCAGGCATGATGGTGCCCACCTGTAATCTCAGTATTCTGGGAAACTGAGGCAGGAGGATTGCAAGCTTAAGCCCCTCCTGGACAATTTAAGAATTTAGCAAGACCCTGTTTTAAAATTTAAAAGGGCCAGGGATGTAGCTCATTATGAAGGCCCTAGGTTCAGTCCTCAACACTGCAAAATTCAAAACCAAAAGAATAACAACCAAAAAAAGGAAAAAACAAAGAAACAAAACAATAACAACAACAACAAAGCCCAGCAGGGGTCAGAGAACACAGTTCTGAGTATATCTCACCTTGTTCACCCTCTGCAAAAGCAAAAACAAAACAACAACAACACAAACAAACAAACCCTCTCCAAACACTCTTTTCCTTGTAGCAATCTTAAAGTGCATCCCTTGGAACTGGGCACAACGCTAGGTGTTGAGTACCCAGGAAGTACTCAGTAAATGTCATATAGAACCAGGTTGGGTTGCTCTGCTTTTTTTTTTTTTTGAGACAGGGTCTCACTATGTAGTTCAGTCTGGCCTTGAACTCACTATGTAGCTCCAGCTGGCCTTGAACTTTTGGTGGTCCTCCTGCCTCAGCCTCCCAAGTGCTGGGATTACAGGCATGTGTCATCATGCCTGGCCTGCAGGTGGCTCTGCTTCTATGAAAGGGATCCTTGGGTTTGCAGAGTGGGCTATGGGTGCTGGTGGCCCCTGACCAGACCACCAATCACTGCTACAGCCGTGGCAGAGATGAGACCCAGGTCTTGCATGCCCATGCCTCCTGGGGAGGGCATGGGGTTCTGATGCCGCCTCCGGCCCTGCAGTCCTGGCCTCTCACCAATACACTTCTGCATGTCCAGTGTAGCTGTGAAGCCGGCATAGCATAGGCAGCGGTGACCTCCTGGCATGTTGGTACAGTGCCCCTGGCCACAGATGTTGGGGTTCTCTTCACACTCGTCCACGTCTGGGGGAGCAAGGATGGAGGGGGCTGCAGGTGCACAAGGACGTGGGGAGAGCCCTGGGGTCCTGCCCACAGGGTGGGGGAGGCGTGCTAGGGTCTGGCTGGCTCAGCCAGGCTCTGTGCTGCCTGAGCTTTGGGCCAGGCTGTCACCCAGCTCTCAGCCCCTCATCCCAGGCAGAGGGGGGAGGCCCCGCCCCACCTGTGCATGCCCTCCCGCCGGGCAGCAGCGAGTAGCCCTGACCACAGCTGCACTGGAAGCTGCCCTCAATGTTAATGCAGTGCACTGCGCAGCTGCCGTTCCACACCTGGCATTCATCGGTATCTGCAGAAGTACGTGGGTGGGCTGGGCGGCGGGGGAGGGTGAGCACCAGGCCAGCCAGGCCGGTTCAGGAGCAGGGTAGAAGTGTAGGGGTGGCACGGGGAGAGGGCGCTGTCTCACCCACGCAGCCCTGGCTGTCAGGCGTGTTCTGGAAGCCGGCGTGACATGAGCACTGGAAGGTGCCGATGACGTTGACACACTGGCCGTGGGGACACAGGCTGCTGCTCAGGGCACACTCGTCCACGTCTGTGGGGACACACAGCAGCTAAGGGGCCAGGGGAGGGAGGTCCATACCCTACCTACCACCTTCGTGACCATGAGACACACACGGGCACACCAGTGAGCTCACACTGCAATGTCTGCTCACTACAGACACACCCTCACACCCACGCACACTCAGACACACCCTTGGCAGGCACACACAGCCATGCTCATACACACACACCAGCCCGCATGATGACGCAGACTGCAGAAACTCTCATCCTCCCGTAAACATGCTTCCACACCCGGATGTATGCTCACACTGTCAGCAACTCTCTGAAATACGCCTCACACCCACTCACATGCAAACACTCATAGGCAGACACGCTCACACCCTCACAAACCCACTGGTCTTTGCATCGCTAAACTTACACATGTGGATATTCACGAGCACACATCCCACGCACACAGACACACAAATGCACACTCCCACCACTCATGCCGCAGCCACTCACACAGATGCATGTTTACAAGCTAGCACTTCTGCTGTCCCGTTTCACACTCACATGGACGCACATACCCCACCATCCTGTATGTGGAAGCACCCACACACAAATCCACAGACACTGTCACACACATAAAGGCCCATGCTCAGAGAGACACAAACACACTCCCCCACATCTCACTCGCACAACATTCAGACACACACACCGACACACTCACACTCACTCAGCAGCTACAAGCTCACCCTCACAGGCAGTGCCCTCAGATGTGCGCGCCTGTCCGGGGGGACACTGGCACTCATAGCTCCCATCCGTGTTGGTGCAGGTGCCTCCCTGGCAGAGCAGTGGGTCCCTCGAACACTCATCCACGTCTGGTCCTGTGCAAAGACAGCAGCTGAAGACCCTGGCCCCAAGGGCAATTGGTGCCTAGGAGCTCTCCCAGCCCCATCCCTTCCCATCATCAGCCAGGGCTACAGTCAGCATGGCCTGGGGGCTCAGGGATTGGATGAGCTTCGCAGAATTGAGGCTGGCACTCCTGGGGGCACCAAAGGACACCCTGAGAAGCCTCCCCTTCCCTTGAGGACAGGAGGGGAGGCTGAGGCTCAGCGCTGTGAAGCAGCCTCACCACCCACCTATCCCCTCCTTGCACACCAGCCACACACTTCTCCGTCTTCTCAGGGCTACCCCAGGGCCTTTGCACATGTTGCCTTTCAGCCTCTCTCCAGCCCTCAGTCCCCTCACTTCTCTCAGTGACCTCCCCAAGAATGGGCACATCCTCCAGGTGCACCTTCCCATTAGTCATGTGGTCCTTCTGCATTTCTTTGGGGATTTATTTTATTAACATCTGTTTCTGCATGAGCTTAAAAAACAACCAACATGTTATTCCTTTTGAGGAGGTTGTACTGAGGATCAAATCCACAGGCGCTCTACTCTTGAGCTATAGATCCCCATCCCTTTTTATCTTTTGAGTCAAGGTCTCGCTAAGTTGCCCAAGTGGGCCTCGAACTTGCAAAGATCCTCCTGCCTCAGCCTCCCAAAGTGCTGGGAAGACAGGCCTGCACCATCGCACCCCACCCAGCGCCACTGTAGTACTTCTAGTTGTGCAGAGGCACAGGAAATGGCCATGCAAGGAGCGACAAAGTCCACACCGGGCCTCCTACCTTACACGGCAGCGCTCCCGGGCTTCGGTGCAGGACCCTAGAGACCGCGGCCACCCAAGGCTTCTCTCCCCAAGCGACGCCCCCGGTGCCTGGCCCTGCACCCGTGCACATCTGCACAGCGACGTCCCTGTCCCTGTGCCCCTGTGGACGCCCACGTCCTCGCCCGGCGGCCGCTCACCCACGCAGCTCCTGGGCGGCAGCCAGCCGCTGGCGTAGCCGCGGAAACACGGGCACGAAGCTGCCCGGGGTGTTGACGCAGGCGCCGGGCCACAGAGCCCCCCGGGGCACGCCCTGCACTCGTTCACCTCTGCAGCGGAGGCGGGAGTCGGGTCACCCGAGCGCGGTCCCTCACCCCAAGCCTCCCGTGAGCCGACTCCCGCCCGCACCTCGGAAGAAGGGCCGGCCCGACAGGAGGTCCCGGCTGGAGAAGCCCGGGCCTCGGGGACACAGGCTGGCGAACTCTGCGGAGTCGGGCTCCGGGCACGTCTCGCACTCGGCTCCCCACGCGGCCCCCACGGAGCAGCAGCACACGTCCATCCGGTACTTGCCGGGCAGGGGGGCCCCGCAGTCGTCCTTGTCCCGGCGTAGGAAGCATGGCTCCAGCCTCGCGTCTGCGGAGGGAGCCACGGTCCTGTCCCCGCCACACGTGGGCAGGTGAGACGCGTGGGACCACGCAACCAAGGGGTGGCAGAGGGCAAAGGGGCGACCGCCTCGTGGCGAGATTTCACGGCGCCCCGCAGCAGCGCCCGATAATGACTGCACTGCCTGGGTGCTTACCAAGTACTGGGTACTGTTCTAAGTTCCTCAATCCATTTAATCCTCCAAATAAAACTGAGCGGGGGTAGGGGGGTGGGGGTGGGGGGTGGGGGGGTGGAGCTCAGTAGTGAGCACTTGCCTGACGTGCAGGAGGCAGCCGGTCTGGTCTCCAGCAGCAGGAAAAGAGAAAGAAAGAAGGGCAGGAGGGAAGGAAGAAGAAAGAAAAAAGGAAGGAAAGGAAAGAGAAGAGAGAAGGGGGAAAGAGACAGAGAAGCCAGGCATGATCCACAGGCCTGTCGTCCCAGCACTTGGGAAGCTGAGGCAGGAGGATCTCACTGGTTCAAGACCAGCCTGGGCTGCATAGCAAGACCCTGTCTCAGAAGAACAACAAAGAGAAAGAAAGAAGGAAAGAAAGGAAGAAAGAGAAGGAAAGAAAAGAAAAAGCCCAAAAAGCAGGGAGGAAAATGCTATTATCATTTTAGCCACTTCAGAGGCTAGGAAACTGGATGAAGCAGTTAGGAAGCTGCCCAAGGCAGCACAGCTCCCAGGGCTAGAGCTGGGGTCAAACCCTGCCGCCTGACTCCAGAGACATGTATTTCAGCCATAACTCCCTCAGAACAGTTTGTAGCAGCCATGTTTTCCTCAGCACCAGAGATGAGAGGCTCAGGGATGTTTCAGCTAATCACAGCCTCAGGCTAGCTACTAGCGTTTTGTTTTGTTTTGTTTTGAGACAGAGTTTTCCTATGCAGCCCAGACTGGACTCAAACTCAAAAGAGATCCTTCTGCCTCAGCTTCCTGAGTGCTGGGATGACAGGCATGTTTTTGTAAATAAAGTTTTATTGGCACACAGCCATGTTCACTCATCTATACACCATCTGTGGCTGCTTTGGAGCCAGAGTTGAATGGTTGCCTCAGGGATGCTGTGGCCTGTGGAGGCAAAAACATTTACTCTCTCTAGTGGAGCCTGGTGGTGCATGCCTGTAATCCCAGCTCTCTAGGAGGCTGAGGCAGGAGGATCACAAGTTCAAGCCCAGGCTGGGCAACTCAGTGACTTAACAGGACCTTGTTTCAAAATTTAAAAATAACGAGGGCTGAGGATGTAGCTCAGTGGGAAGGCCCTGGGTTCAATCCTCAGTACCACAAAAGCAAAGCAAAACAAAAAGTAAGGGAATTCTAAACAAGTACTATAAATATGACTTCCTGAGATTGTGGCAGTTGCCATGAGCCTCAGAAAGAAAAGTTAATTCTCCAGGAGCAATAAAGGGGAGGAATTACAAAGCCGAACATCAGGGACTGGGTAAAGTCCCTCCTGTCCCAGAGCACTCTGATGGCCAGAGTGGGGACCAAGGAAAGAAAATCTGTGGACTCACCCACACACAGCCAGCCCGAGGCACCCAGCACCAGGCCCTGGGGACACTCGCAGTGGAAAGAGCCCTCGGTGTTGACGCAGCGCCCACGCTGACAGATGCCAGGGAAGGACTTGCACTCATTCACATCTGGGCACGGGGGTCAGGAGGAGAGGAGAGGGAGGAATGGCACTGCCAGCCATGGCCCTGGGGACTCAGGAAGCCCTAGATGTCCTTGGGAAGGACAGAGGGGGACCATGGTGGGGGACCCTGTGGGATCCCCAGAAGCCAGGGGAATCTTTTTATTTGTTGTTTTCTCTTTAGACAGTGTCTCACTATGTAGTCCAGGCTGGCCTTGAACTCACTATGTAGCCCAGGAGATCCTCCTGCCTCAGCCTCCCGAGAGCTGGGATGACAGGTGTGCACCACCATGCCTGACTTAGACTGGGCAATCCTCCCAGTGAGGAGCCCATGCATTAGGTGCACCCAGTGCTGGAGGGGTGGGGAGTTACCTTCGCAGGTGACACCACTCATGTGGACGAAGCCATGTGCACACACGGGGTCTGCAGTGGGGAGAAGAGAGGTGACTGTCTACAGCCAGCCCCGGGTGGGTGCCCCTCCCAGCCCTCCCCATGGCCCAGGCGCAGGGAGGACCCCGGCAGGCCTTACCCAGGTCGCAGCGCTCGCAGGGGCTCCCCCAGGCAGCCCCCAGGGTGGCGCAGCACTCGGACCGCAGAGAAACCGCCTGCAGGTTCGCCCCACAGTGCCCACCCTGGATCTGCAGCCAGCAGGTCCCCTTAGTGCTGTCTGGGGACAAAGGGAGAGTGTCACCTGTCTCACCTGCTCCGCTCACACCTGTGTCCTTGCCCATAAGTGCCCAGCCTCCAACTCCACTCACTTATGCACACAGCTCCAGAGGGCCCCAGCCGGCTGCCTGGGCCGCATTTGCATGCATAGGAGCCCGCCAGGTTGCGGCACACACCGTTCACGCATGGGCTGGACACACACTCATCGATGTCTGTGGGGACAGAGCTGGCTGGGTGCTGAGCCCCATCTGGCTGGGGCTCCGTCTTCAGGGAGACTGCTGTACCCACCCAGGATCCACAGGAGCGAGCAGAGAGCACAGGAGGGAAAACAAAGAGTGTCGTGCAAGGAGGTGTGGAGATCTTTTGCAAACAAGAAGGGGGCTGAGAGGTGGAGGGGGAAGGGCGTAAAAAAGAATGGAGATGTGTTATGTCCAGGTGCCGACTCCCGAGGAACTTGATGATTACGCACAGCAAGCCTGGACTAACAGAAAAGAAAGCGTGTTACTAACCATGTGCGTGTGTACACTGTAAAAGAGGCATGAAAAACCAAACTGCTTCTCTTACTCTTACCCTCAGTGCAGTTCAGAACACCTCAGTGACCAGACATGATTTTTTTGCTTGTTTGTTTCCACACTGATCATTTCTCCCATACCAGCTGGTACCCTTTAATTCAATTCTGACACTGGCTACCTGGAGTTAAAATCAGATCCCTCAAGTTAAGGGCTCAGGATTTTCATTTCTTTGTTTGTTTTTTTTATTTCTTTGAGTCAGGGTCTCGCTATGTGGTCCAGACTGGCCTTGAACTCACTATGTAGCCCAGGTTAGCCTTGAACTTGCAGCAATCCTCCTGTCTCAGCCTCCCGAGTGCTGGGATTACAGGTGTGCTCCGGCATGCCTGGTTTAAGGCCTCAGTCTTACAAATCTGCCCGACTCCAGCTTCCCATTGCAAATCCAGGCCTCTGGAGCTTCCAACAGGCTGGCCATAAATTGGGGCTTCCTACAATCTCCTTGATCATTGGTTAGAGTGGCTCACAGAACCTGGGATCACCTGACTGTCATCTACTAGTGCTATGACTTGTGTCCAGATGTCCCCCAAAGCTTTGTGTGCTCATAGGTGGGGCTTTTTGGAGGTGGCTGGATCTAGGATGTGTGATGCTGGGATTAAGGGTGCTCCCATGTTGGGTATGGGCAGCACCAATCAAAAAGTGTGTGGTCTGGATGGGACAGGAAGGGTTGCTGCTGCTTCTGCTGTTCCACTGCCTGCTACTTCACAGCTTTGCTGCCTTCTGCCTGCCCTGCCCTGCCATGGACTGTTTCTCCTCTGACATGCTACCCTGTCATGGACTGTTTCTCCTCCACGATGCCACCCTGCCTTGGAGCCAGCTGACTATATGGACTGAAGCCTCTACAAACTGTGAGCTAAATAAGCCTTTCCTCCTTTAATTTGGGGTGTTGAGCATTTTGTCTCAGCATTGAGAAAAGTAACTAAGACAACTGTTATTTGAAAGGGTCTTAGGAAGGGTACACAGGAGTCAGGAGGAAGACATGCAGAGGGAGCAGAATGGAAGAGGTCTGTGAGTTCTGCTCTCTGAAAGCTCTCCGGACTCTGTAGTTCAGGGGTTTTAATGGAAGCTTCGTGCTCAGGCATGATCAATTATTAACTCCATTATTAAAGCTTGGAGCAGCTTCTCATCATGGCCTGGTCTTTCTGGTCACCACTTCCGGTACAGGAGCCACCGAAGGTCACCTCATCAGAACAGAGACTGTGCTAGGACCCAGGAAACTTCAAGGGCTCAGGTGCTGTGTCAGGAACTGGGGCTAAAGACCAGGCAGCGATCAGAACAGGAGGTGTCCTTCCGTCCCCAATGTTCAGGGGACTTAGGGGCCCTCTGCTGGGCCTGGGGAATGAAGGCCAGATACGTGTTTCCTCCTATAAACCCCGGTGTCATGGCACCCAGGCATGAACACCAATGTGAGGGTCCCATGAGCGTGCAGTGTGCAACATGACCCTCAAGGGAATCGTGGCACAGACAGGTCTAGAGTGGTGGATGGGAGCAAACTGCAGAGGACAGAAGCCAGGGTGTGGTGGGGGTCAGCCCAGGAAGTGGTGCCATCCGTGTACAGTGTGTGTGTGTGTGTGTGTGTGTGTGTCTTTATTCTACATGTGACATGTGTCTGTGTGCTCAGAAATGCAGCATGTGTGTCTGTGTGTACATATCTGTGGACACACGCCATGTAAAACATGTCTTTGTGTGTGCCACATATGGCATGTGTGTCTGTGCACACCACATCAGTGTATGTCTGTGTGTACGTGTGCAGTGTTACAGCCGAGCGTGTGTCTGAGCATGTGCATACATGTGCACTATGTGTGGTGTGAGCGCGCACCTATACTATATGCAGTGTGCACTCCTGGGATGTGTGCACATGATATGCAGTGTGCACAACTGAATGCACACATGCATTCTACATCCAGTGTGTCTGAGTGTGTGGACAAGTGTGCACACTCTATGCAGTGTGCACATCAAGTGTGTGCAGGCACACTACATGCCCCATGTGTATGCTGTGGCATGCCCGAGTGTCTGTGTGACTTTTAACAAGTGCATGCCCATGCATGCACATGTGTATCTGAGTACACGTGTGTGCAACCTGTGTGTGCACACACTGCATGAAGAGTGCCCAGGAGCTGTACCTTCGCAGGTCTCCGTGTCCTGCCGGAAGCTGAAGCCCTGAGGGCAGGAGCAGGTGTAGCTGCCGGGGCTGTTCTGGCACCGCCCGTTGTCACACAGGAAGGAGTTGAGGGCACACTCGTCCACGTCTGCGGGTGGCGGCAGGGAGGGTGAGGGCCTGCTGCAGGAGCGGCCTTTCCCGAGCACCCCCAGCATGCTCACCGGTGCATTCCGTGCCCGTGGCACTTGCTTCATAGCCCAGGTTGCAGATGCACCGGTAGCTGCTGTGAAGGTTCTCGCACACACCATTGGTGCAGGCCTCGGGGTCCAGGGCACACTCGTTGATGTCTACAGCAGGATGACAGACAGCAGCTGCTCTGGCTTTCTGGAGGTCTCTACAAGCCGGCCCCAGCTCCCAGGGCAGGGGGTCCAGGCCAGACCCTGCCTCATTTCTCCCTAAACCAGGCATTCTCGGCCTCCGCATGGCTGACACTGGGGCCAGGCCATTCTTGGCCGTGGGGGACCATTCTGCACATTGGGGTGCTGAGCAGCAGCCCTGGCTTCTACCCCCACCCCATCTCTCTAGACTTTGCCAAATGTCTCTGGGGCAGGTGAAGGAGCTGTCCCAGTTTGGAACCTACAGGTATTCGTACAGCAGCTTCACAATATAGCCAGCCCTATGTATCCCTGGGTAACACATCCGGGAGTTCAACCAATCCAGGATGGAAAACATCTGCCCCCAAGTTGCACCCATAATGAACATTTGCAGACATTTTTCTTGTCACGATTCCCTAGACGATACAGCATCACAACTATTTACATAGCATTTCCATTGTATTAGGTATCATGAATCATCTAGAGATGATTTAGTCTATGGGAGGCTTTGTGCAGGTGCTACACATATACCACGCCAGTGTATATAAGGTACGGGGGCAGCCAGGCTCTAGCATTTGAGGGGATTTTGGAACCCAGTGCTCACAGGTACCCAGGGGCGACCATAAGAGCAGTCAGGCTCACTAACATCACCAGTGCTTACTATCCCGCGCCAAGCGCTGTGCTTCCGGTCTGTCACGCTTTCCTACAGCAACCCCAGCAACCAGATGGTCCCCAGCCACAGCCTCCCACCTCCCTCCCGTGTCACCACAGTAGTGCATGCCGGCCCCCGAGTGCTCACTGGACCCTCACCTCCCCATGACATGGATCCCAGCACCACCCCACTTCACAAAGAGTCAGAGGCAGAGAGAAAGTAACTTGCCCTAGGTGACTCAGCCAATAAACAGGAAGACCAGGATTTGAACCTAGGCATTCTGGCTCTAGCACAGAGGAGTCGGGCATTTGGCCTGCCCTAGTTGCCCAGCAGTTGGTGGAAAATCCAACTCTACCCCAGGTCCTTAATTTCTGCTCAGGCAAAAAGGCTGTCAGGAAGAGATGGTGAGGTAGATGTGTATTTTTTATTAGTACATAATGGTTGTATCCCTTGTGCCGTTGGTGTGTGTACATAACACACGTTAATTCCTTTTCTCATCTCCTTTCCCCTCCCTCCACCTCTTGATCCCTTTCCATTTGAGAAAGATCTCTCTATGTCCTGTTATCTATCTTTTTTTTTTTTTTGGTACTGGGGATCGAACTCGGGACCTTCCACTTTTGAGGCAGGCGGCAGAACCACTGAGCTAAATCCCCAGCCCTATCTTTTATTTTGCTCTATATTTATAATTTGGCTTTCTCATATAAGAGAAACCAAGTGATATTTAGGCTTGTGTATCTAATTTATTTCACTTAACACTTTGGTCTTGAGATGCATCCATTTTTCTACAAATGACATATTTATCCTTCTTTATGGCAGAATAGTGCTCCATTGTATATAAATACCACATCTTCTTTATCTATTCATCTGTTGATGGACATTTGGGCTGCTCCCAAGATCTAGCTGTTATGAGCTGTGCTGCTATAACCATGGGTGTGTGTGTATCCCTGTGATATGAGGACTTTAACTCTTGGGAAGATACCTAGGAGTGGGATATCTGGGTCAAATGGATTGTGTAGCTTTAGTTTTTAAGGAATTGCCACACTGATATTCACAGTGGCTGAGCCAGTTCACAGAAGTGGAGAAGGGTTCCTTTCCACCTGCAGCCTGGCCAGCACAGCCAGCAGACCAGAGACAGTGCACAAGGAATTTCCTTTCCCAAGTTCCAACTTCACAGCAGAGACACCTGGCCTGAGGCCTGTGGGCAACCGACCAGCAGGGGTCCGCTCTTTCCTGCGAGGCCTTGGGGGTCCCCATGGGGGATCACAAAGGAGGCTCAACAGAACACAGGGCTCTGAGGGAAGGCGCTCAAGGAGGAAGCACAGCTCTCTCTACCCCACCGCCTCCATCTGCTATGGGGGCATCGTGTCCTCTCCAACTGCTGTGAGGGAGCCCTGACCCTGAGCACTGCAGAGTGCAGCATTATTGGGGGACAGATAATCAAGGGACCCTCAGGGCAACAGGGTGTAAGTGGGAGCCTCTCTCTCTCTCACACACACAGACAGGATCAGTGTGAAGGTGGCACAGACAGAAGAGACTTCTACACACCACGCACTGCCAAGGATTGACACCAAACCAAGAGAAGCGAGAGGAAAAGAAGCCTAGAACAGATTCTCCCTCAGGGGCGTCAGAAGGAAGCAAGCAGGCCAGCTGATGTGGTGGTGCACACCTGTGATCCCAGCACTCTGGGAGGCTAAGGCAGGAAGATCTCAAATTCAAGCCCAGCCTGGGCAATTTAGCAACTTAGCAAGACCTGGCCACACCTTGATCTCAGACTTCCGGCCTCCAGAAATGGCTCGGAACCAATTTCTGTGGCTGAAGGGAGCCGACTGGGATACCATTTCGAGCCGCACCCGCCTCTCCTAGCCAAGCCCCCCCCCGCCAAGGCAGCGGCTGGGAGGGGCTGGGTCCCGCTTACCTTGACCATCCGTGGTGATGCCCAGTCCGCTGCTACACAGTGCCTGGAATTCAGCTGCGGGGGGGAGAGCCCAGCAAGCCGAATCAGGTACATCGCCATAGGACTCAGCCACATCCTCTGCTAAATCTCCGTGATCCGGGGCATGAATTGGGCTAGGACGTAAACCCCTGCCTCCGCGGGACTCCCAGGGCGAAGAAGCCTTCAGCCGGGACAGCCCGGACCCCCGTCATCTTCTACCCAGGCCTTGAGCGCACAGAGGGTCGGGGACCCGGCAGCCCGGGCTCACCGGAGTTCCTGGCGGGACAGGGCTGACAGGGCGCCCCAAAGCCGTGCTCCGGGCTGGCACAGCAGCACTCGGACTTGGAGACGGCGTCCGGGAAGGGCCGGGCACAGGCGCCCCTCTCCACGGCCCCGAAGCACGCGCCGCGCACGTGGGTGTCCACGCACTTGCGGCCGTCAGCGTCCACGTCCAGCCCGGCCGGGCACTGGCAGCGGAAGGAGCCCTGGGTGTTGTGGCAGTGGTTGTTTCCGCAGATGCCGGGCGTCTGGCACTCATCGATGTCTGGGAGGAAATCGCTGGGGTGGGTCACAGCCCCCGCTCCGGCCTCTTCTCTGAGGAGGGCCCCAAACCTGCCGTCTCCAGCCCTCCCATCTTCCGGCTGCTCCGCTTCTCCTCTCTCCCTCTCTCCTCCCCACCTCTTTCTTTCTATTTATTTATTTATTTATTTACTTTGGTTTTTGGAGACAGAATCTGGCTATGTAGCCCAGGCTGGCCTGGAACTCGCAGTGATCCTTCTGTCTCAGCCTCCCAAGTGCTGGGATCACAGGTGTGCACCAGCGCTCCCAGCTTCACTCCCCACCCCCCAACTTTGCCTCCAGCCTCACCCGTGCAGTGGGTGCTGCCAGGTGCCAGAAGGAAGCCAGGACTGCAGAGACACGTGAAGCTGCCATCTTCGTTGATACAGGCGCCATTCAGACACACGGAGCCCGAAGCACATTCGTTCTGGTCTAGAGACACCAGGGAGGCTGCTTCCAGGTGGGGAAGCCCGTCCTCCCCTGCGGTGACCCCCCTCTTACATCCCCAGGGCCAGGGCTGGGCCCCCACAGTGACTGTGACTATGATTGCTTGTACAGCTGTTTCTCAGTATCTGCAGGGCACAGGTCCCAGAACCCTTGGGTAACAAAATCTGCAGGACCCCAAGTACCTTGTGTAAAATGTAATGTTTGCACAGAGCCTACACAATCCTCCCTCCCGTAGACTTTATTTATTTATTTATTTTGAGACAGGGTCTCACTATGTAGTTCAGGCTGGCCTCGAAGTCATTATGCATCCCAGGCTGGTCTTAAACTCACGGTGATCCTCCTGCCTCAGCCTCCCAAGTGCTGGGATGACAGGTGTGCACCACCATGCTAGGCAACCAGACTTTAAATCATCTGTAGATGTCTTAGAAGACCTAAAACAATGTAAATGCTACATAACTAGTTACCACACCGTATCAACAGGGAGTCAGAACAAGAGAAAAACCTGTGCATGTTCAGTATGGATGGGATTCATTTTCTGAGTATATTTGATCCAAGCCTGGCTGAATCTGCAGATGTGAAACCCGGAGTACAGAAAGCGGCCAGGGATCTCCCCTGGGGCACACCCACGGGGCTGCCTCGGCAGGCGGCTCCTGGGGTCTTGACATTCAGTGGGTGCTCCACAAATACTTGTTCAAAGTTACAAAAATGAAGTAGTGATTGCACAAGATCAGAAATATCCTAAATGCTACTCAACTGTTCATTTTAAAAGGGCTACAACGCAAGATTTTTGTCACATATATTTTGCCATAAATTTTTTTAAACGCAGCAAAATTTGAATAAATGAAGCCAGACATGGGGTCCATGCCTGTAATCTCAGCTACTGTTGGGAGGCTGAGACAGGAGGATCACAAGTTCAAGACCAGCATGAGCCACCTAGCAAGACTTTGTGTCAGAAACAAAATTTGTTTAAAAGTTTGAAGATGTAGGTCAGTGACAGAATAAGGTCCTGGATTTGATCCTCAGTACTGGAAAAATTAAGAAATTAAGTAAATGAGGTGATAGCTGCCCAATATTGGGAATCTAGTAAATGCCATCAAATTGTTCAGTTACAAGTGGTGAAAATGATACATTTTATCTTATGTATAGTTTACTGCAATAAAATAAAGCAAGAAAAAAAACCCTTGTTAAAATACATAAAGTAGCTGAGTATGGTGATGCACACCTATAATCCCAACACTCAGGAGGCTGAAGCAGGAGGATCGCCCTGAGTTCAAGGCCAGCCTGAACTACATAGCAAGATCTTGTCTCAAAAACACCAACCAACAAATACATGTATGCAGTGGTGATTGAATAACACTGGGAATGTGCCATATATCACAGAATTATTGGGCTGGGGATTTAGCTCAGTGGTTCCACTGCCTGCCTCGCAAGTGCAAGGTCCCGAGTTCAATCCCCGGTACCAAAAAAAAAAAAAGATATTATATTATCACAGAATTATTCACTTTTAAATGACTAAGTTTATGTTGTGTGAATCACACCTCAATTTTTTCAAAAAGAAAGGAACAAAGACAGCTAATGAAAAAGTCTGATTTAAAGGAAGGTGACAGGTAAGAACTAAGTTTGCCAAAGTAGCAACGGTTAACTACTAGAGGGTGGCACCTAAGAGACAAAATAATGAATGAAGAAATGCCCACACAAAAGTTGCACGCAAATGTTCTCAGCATCGTTGTCACTAATAGTACAGAGCAGAAACAACACCAATACCTATCCATGGATGAATGGGTGAACACAGCATGTTCCAGCCATATGGTAGACTATTACTCAGGCACAAACAAAAGCGAAGCACTGATTACACACTCCAGTGTGGATGGAACTTGAGGACATCATGGTCAGGGAAAGAGGCCAGACATAAAAGGCCACCTAGTACATGATTCCACATGTAGAAAATGTCCAGAACCCAGAGGGACAGGAAGTGGACAGCCCCATGCCTAGGGCGGGGGGGAGGAGGGCAGATTACAAAGGACTACTGGATATGGGCTTTATCTTTGAGCTCACAGAGATGTTTTAAACTTAACTTTCAATGATGACTGCACAACTCTATGCAAATACTAAAAACCATAATTTCATCGTTTGGAGGGGATGGGATTTAGCTGAAGTGTCCCAGCCTGGCTTTGAACTCATTAGGAAGCCCAGGCTGGCCTCAAACTCACGGTGATCCTCCTGCCTCAGCCTCCCGAGTGCTGGGACCACAGGAGTACCCCACCATGCCTGGCTTTCAAAACTGACTAATTTTATTATGTATGTGAATTAGGCATCCATAAAGATACTTTAAAAAAAATTTTAACGAATGGCTACAGAAATGATAACATCCTTCCACACAAGGGACTCTGAGGCAGATCATCACAGACGAGGTGGCACTAGAGGCTACAATACAGGGGCTCCCGCGGGCTCGGTCCACCCCACGCACGCCCCGCAGGGAGCGAGGCCGGGCGCTCTCCGAGGTCCTGATCGCTCCCGGCCTGTAGCCCCGCTGCTCCGGCTTCAGCGGGGCCAGAGGGAGCCTCACTCGGCCCCCGGGGCAGACAAGGGCCAGCGGTTCCTGAGGGACCTTGCAGGGCTCAGAGAAGGAAGCAGAGGAGAGGCTGAGGGCGTAGGACTGAAGACTCGGAGGCCCTGGCCACCCGCGCGGCCCTGACTCACCCACGCAGCTCTTGCCATCCCGGCTCAGCTCGAAGCCTGCAGGGCACACACACCGGAAGCTGCCCTCCGTGTTGACGCAGTGGCCCGGGTGGCAGAGGCCCCCGCCGGCCCCGGCGCACTCGTCCACGTCTGCGGGAGAGAAGAGGACCCTGAGCTCCCGCCCAGCCCTGGCCGCCCCGCGCCCGCCGCTCACCCACGCACTCGCCCCGCCTGTCCTGGGCGTAGCCCACGCTGCACTCGCAGCGGTAGCTGGAAGGGGTGGGCAGCAGCGGCCCTGGGGACACGGGTTGGCGAAATGGTGGCAGATGTCCAGGGTCCGGTTCAGGGTGGCTGGACCTGCAGCCAGGGCCGCCGGGGACATCCCAGCATCAGAACCCCGTCCCGTTTGCCTCTGGACCCGGTCATCTCCTGCGAGGCTGGGACCCTGCTCCTGAGCCCCGCTGTGCTGCCCAAGTCGAGGCCGAGACCCCCCCAAACCCAAAGGGCCCAGATCCTGACTTTGACCACCAGCTTCCCAAGGAACCCAACGCTGACGGTCACCAGCCGGCTCAAAGTGTTCCCCAGAGACTGATCCAAGACCTCCGTGGACACCAACACGCACGACACGCAAAGCCCTTACACAGAACCAGACTTTTGTTTCCTCAGTACTGAGGATGCAACCTGGGGCCTTGTGCGCTGAGCTACATCCCCAGGCCCTTTCTTATTTTTTTATTTTGAGGGAAGGGTCTCCTTGAGTTGCCTGGGGTAGGGGGAGGGGAGCTCCGACTTGCAATCTCCCTCCCTCAGCCTCCCAGCGTGCTGGGACGACAGGTGTGTGCCCTCGCACTCGGCCCCCTTCAGACTTTAAATCTGCGCAGGGTGATTTATAATACCTGATACAATGTACACGTTAGGCACACAGTTGAGTTACTGTGTCATTTAGGGAATAATGACAAGAAACAAAATGTCTGTATACGTTCAGTGAGCTTGCAATTCTTTCTTCAGAATATTTGCTATCTGAGGTTGGTTGGCTCCAAGGATGTGGAACCCTCAGACACAGAGAGTTGATTACACCTTTGTCCCTGCTGAGGTAGGTGCTGGGACAAGGACAGGTCAATAAGAAGCCATAGGACAAGAATCAAGAAACCAGACAGAGCAAGGATGATTATGTCAAAATGTCAGAAAACGTGGCCCAGTGTGGTGGAGCAGACCTGTAATCCCAGCACTCAGGAAGCTGAGGCAGGAGGATCCCTGTGAGTTCCAGCCAGGGCTACATAGTGAGCTCAAGGCCAGCCTGAACTACACAGTGAGACTCTGTCTCAAAAACCAAAAAAAGAAAACCAATAGATAAAAGTCACTTTGTACCCTCTAGACCCCAAACCCCTCCCTGTGGGTGGGCGGAGTCAGTACCCCATTGGGCCAAGACTCCTGTCAATCTCAGCTGTAGACCCTCCTACAGCCCCAGGACCTTGAGAGACCCAGTATATTACCTGCCCCCAAAGGGCTGTGAACTCCTGCTCTTGTGCGGAGTGTACTTTCACTTTTAATAAATCTCCTTCTAGCTACTCTTTCTGAGTATCCCGCTCATTCTTTGCTGGGCATACCAAAGACCCACCCCATAATATTACTGTCCAGGCCAGGATTCCTGCTCTAAGGCACTGACCCCTCCCTCTGTCCAGGTCCCGTCTCCCATCCTAGGCCCCTGTGATCTTGGCACCCTTCTTCCGAGTCCCAGGCTCACCCATATTGGCGTTAACAGGGCCTGGGCGGGGGACCCTGTGTTGTGCAGGCCCCAGGGCAGGACCCCTGCTGTTGGACCAGAAGCCCGGGAAGCCAGGGAAAGGCCCCACGTGGGAAGGTAGCAGCAGCAAACCCTGGACACACAGCCGCTGGAATTCACCTGCAAAGGAAAAGAGTTTGACCAAGTTTGAATATTTAGGAAAAGTGCTCTTTATGATAGGTCGTGAGACTAAGACCATGGCAAAAGTTATAACCACTGTACTAAAGTTCCCTGATGATCAGACTCAGAAAATTTTGGAAAGAGAAGAAGTGTGGCTAATGTCATGGCTCCGACCCTTATCTTGAAGAAATGAGGAGGGTGATACTGGCAACTGCTGCTGGGAAAACTGTCCATGTTTGCTCTTCTTTGAGAATGAAGCCATCATTTAAGGCCCTTCATGTAGGCAGAGACAAAGAAAAATCTGGCATCGGCCTAGAGATATATTGCAAACTGCCTTTAAAACAAGATTTATTTCATCAGTGGAGAAATAGTGATGGTGTTTTCCTTTTTCAGTTTTCTGTTGGAAAGAATTTTATGTTGTTTGAAACATATTTTGAATAACTTAACCTGATTCATGGGCTCAATTAATGTTTCTTTCTTTCATTCTTGTTGTCCCTCTTTTTAAAGAACTGCTTGCCTTATTTATTTTTAGGGTGATTTTTTTTCTCTTTTCTAAAGATCTGTGCAATACATTTTGAGGTGAAACTTAGTGGATTTTTTCTTTTTTTTTTTTTTTGGTACCGGGGATCGAACTCAGGTCTTTGCGCTTGCATAGCAAGTGGCAAAACCAGGCTAAATTCCCGGCCCATTAGTGGATTTTTTCTAATTAATTACAGCATTTAATTGACTCTTACCCAGATTGGTTTGTTGAATATTTGCTAAAGACTAGTTCTTTAAGCTATGACATATGATAAATCCCAAATGGTAGTTCCTTATGGTTTACTTAGCTTTTGTATTTATATTTTTCAGAGGACAAAAATACTACTGTAAACTGTAAACAGTCAACACAAACTATTGTATGCAAATCTGTGACTGTTGGCAATGTCATCTCGGAGGAGCAGATGAATAAAGTTTATTTACTATATAAAAAAGAAAGAGCCGGGGATTTAGCTCAGTGGTTCTGGCGCCTGCCTCGCAAGCGCAAGGTTCCGAGTTCGATCCCCGGTACCAAAAAAAAAAAGAAAAAAAGAAAAAGGGTTTGAGGCCAGGCCCTTGGTCCTGTCCAGGGCCCCCAACCTGTGAGCCCTAGCTGTTACTCACCGGACCCCCTGGAAGGACAGAGCTCCTGGGCCGAGCCGGCCATCCAGCATCTCCCTTTGTCACAGCAACACTGCCTGTGAGAGTAGTGGCCAGCAAGGTCCGCAGCACAGCGACCTCCAATTAGTACAGAGAAGCAGGTGCCAACTCGGAGGTCTGCAGCAGGGCCAAAGGTGGGGCTGTCAGCACGGGGTACGACCAGGGGCAGCATCGGTTGCTAGATCTGGATTCGAACCCCAGCAGCTGGGTGTGGTTTCACCCACCTGTGATCCCAGCACTCAGGAGGCCGAGACAGGAAGATTACAAGTTCAACCCCAGGCTGGGTAATTGAGTGAGTTAGCGTGTAGCTCAGTGTGAAAAGAAAAATACAGCTACACCCACACTGCCTGTACAACGGGTCTCCTTACCTACCTGTGCCTCAGTTTCCCCATCATTAAAATGAAGATACTCCAGGCACCCACCCTACCTCAGAAAAGTGTCATCCAGGTGGCAAAGCTGGCACATGGCTGATCTTCGCTTACTGTTAGCTCTTACTCTCAAGCTTTCCAAATTATCACAGGGGGCTAGACTTGGGCTTTTTCCAGACCAGCATTCCAACATCTGAAGTTGGCACTGGTAGTGAGCTCCCTGCCAACACAGGCACCTAACCACACCAAGGATGACCCTCTGGTGGGCCTTGGATATTACAGGGCATCGAGAGACCATGAACCTGAAGAGGGTACCCCGAAAAGCATGCTGGTGGATTAATAGTCCTGGCCCCTGGGGAGGCTGAGGCAGAGCCTCCCCCCCCCGTGAGAACCACGGACACTTCTCCGCTTCCCACCAAGCCCTCGAGTCCCCAAGGCAATGCGTGGTGGTCAAATTTCTGACTTTGGCTCAAATAGTGTTTATTTGAGTCTGGGCCGGTGGCCTGCAGTTGAGAAATCCCTCCTGACAGCTGGGAGGGACCTGGCACCCACCCCTGCCCTGTCTCAAGCAAGGAAAATGTGCAAATGTTTCCACCTCCCCATCCTGCCTGTATGCCCAGGCCCCCAGGTGTGAGCGTGGGTGTGGAGTCCCTTCCCTCTGGGCACTGCAGGCCTGGGGAAGAGCTGGGCCGCCCAGGTGAGAAGGGGCCAGCCGACCGTTCAAGGTCACCCAGCTGTTAAATCTGGAGGGGGATGAGAAAGCAGATTCTCCACCCCAGGGGATCTGCCCAGCAGCTGTCTCTCCAGTAGAGAAGACATAATATATGAACTGTAATGAGCAAGACACTGTTGTTGCTTTAATGCGAACTGACCAGGGCACTGCTCAATGTCCTTGCCTCAACTTCCCTGGGGCCCTTACTGCCTCTGACTGCATGTTGAGTGCCTGCTATGTAACAGTCATCTACAGATCAATTCTCAAATCATGTCTTGCTTAATCCTGGTCAGAACTGCTATTATCCCCATTTTATGGTTGAGGAAACTGAGGTACAGAGCGCTTAGGTCAATCGCCAAGGTCACAGAGCCTGGGAGTGCCTCAGCTAGCAGTCAGAACTCAGACTAGAACCGAAGGCCTCATCTGGAGGCAACCAGACCCGGTTCGGGTACAGGCTTTGGTGTGGAGGAGCTGGGAGAGGCCCCAGCAGTAGTCTGAGTAAGTGCCCCTCCTCCAATGCCGGCCACAAAGGCAGCCAGAGCTGGAGACCTCCAAAGACAATATTCCTAACCCTGCCTAGTTGGGCACAGCCTGAGGGGCCCCAGGTGATGCTGGGAAACCAGCAAGCCGTCTCCCCTCTCCCTGACCAGGACCCTGCCCACCCCTCTACAGCATCCACATTTCCTGCCAGCTTGTTGGCCCCAGGCAACTCTGGGCCCTAGGACCAGCTCATCAAGACAGCACATGGGGGTCTCCCCTGCTGAATGTTGGGGATGGCAGGAGGGGGGAATAGGGGTGCAGTTGAGTCAGAGTGCCTCACCCTGGGTATGGGCCTGGGGAGCTGAGTGTGGGCATTTCTCTGTAGTGACTTATTGTGTTGACGCCCTTTCCTGAGCCTGAGTTTACCCAGCTTGAAAGTGGGGTAAAAGAGAAAGAGACTATACGGTGTTCTTGAGTCTTGGGGGATGGAAAACAGGATAGAGAGACAGTAGTGGGAGGCGGACTGAAGAGCAAAAGAGCATAAAGATGGATGATAGAGCATGGGAAAGGAGCACACGGTTGAAAGACAGAGGGACAAAGGGCAAGCCGAGAGATGAAAGCTAGAGGGTAAGAGGGCGGGCATAGAGATGAAAGGTAGAGGGTCAGAGGGGGACATAGAGA